TTGAGTTCCAAGTGGACCATATATCTGGTTACAACTGCAGGTATCCACTGCTCTCCTTTCTCTCAAATCACTTTCAGCTCGCCTCACTAATACCCATAGGCTTTAATTACTTGTTCACACAATCTTCACTTTGTCACCGTTGGACGTCCAACAAGTCCTTTTCCATTCTGTATATAATTAAGTGCCCGGTGAGCAATTTCAGTCAAGAGTTTCCCCAGTATCTGTCTTGTCCATTTGCCCTTTGTACAACATATTTCTTGGGCATTTGCTCCATGATTAGTTGGTTTCCAGAATTCCTTGTTACAAAGTAAGGTAAGTGTCTGTTTCGAATTTCTTGTAAACACGCAAGTTTTACTTCTTCTAGTGGATTCACATGGCATCATTCAGCTGTGTATAGAGAAGCCGAACTTGTGAAGCAAAACTGAGATCAGCTGGAATCCGTTAAATAACTTTAAATGCCTTATAAATATCAATTTTATTCTGACTGTCTGCGAGGTGGGCTAAAACACAGTTATGAACAGATCTTGTTTGTCCCTTGCTGCTTAACCACTATGTAGAATGATGCATAGAAATCCACCGATGGTGAACCTACCTATTTTCTCGCCTAATATATATGACTACGAAGCTGCAGTCAAACGCATAGATACACGTATACACGAGGCGACATTAAGTAGTTTGTCCTTATTTGTCCAATGTAAAATCGAAGTGGTTGTGAAGAAACAGTGTACGTCTGTTCGAATAGATGCTATTTTCTTAACTGCATTCATCAGGCACTGCCTTGCTATTTCACTGATGTTATCCAGATAATTCCATTGAGAAGAATATGAATTTAGCACTAAAGCCAGGTACTGTGCATGAAAAACTGCAATACTTCGGTGATAATATCACTTTAAAACAATTAGTTCCCTTCATGAATTTAGATAAAGCAATAGGAAGACGTAATTTGTCTGAATCGTGTAGTGTTGTATTTGCGCAACACACACTCCGAACAATCGGATCCCATACACGGAAATATCATGGGAATATATATATGAAATTAATAAAGAGGTAAGATGTGAGAAAATAGACTTAGGTCAAGTTGAAAGGACATATTCAAGGTCAAAATAACAATGAAGACCACTAAACCAAATAGCAGAGGTAAATAGTACATCTACCCTGGCTGGTATCAAAACAAAATTTACCATAGAAGGTTTAATGTGATGACGAATTGTTGCTTTGAACGCATAAAGGTGACTTGCACTTTCTAATTGCTAGGGCTTCCACAAACTTTAGGATACGCCCCAAACACGTTTTACAGATAGGTTTACAAGATCTGTTAACATCACTTTTATGTCCTGTCTCTATAATATGTTTCGCGATAGAAGCGCTAGGTCTCCTGTTCGTACAATTAGTGGGTTTTGGTGCTTCTATTTGCTTCTGGAGGCATTTAGGAATATGCTGTGAAGCCCTTACTTGCAGAGATCGATGAGTCCCCACCCCCGCCCTATGTATGTGTGTCCACATGTACCTCTTTATTAATTTCATATGTATTCTTATGACAAGTCCGTGTGTGGTCAGATAATATCACTATCGAAATTATTTTAAATTTTTCTGACTCCTTCATCTCAAATGGCCTATTACGCAACGAAGTTGAATACTCACTTATTTCATAATCACTCTTCATTTTTCTCAAATTATGTGCATTATGCAATCCACTCCTTTTGTATTGTATTGAAATCGCCATATGTATATATACATATTAGAGTCAGTGACGAGGATCTAATTAGGAAGAAAATATTTATTCTATCAATCCTTTCGTCTTTTAAAAGTTTATCAGTTATTGACAAGTGAAAATAGTATGTATTAAGTATCAGTTATCAGTGAGTGGCGGCAGCGGAGAGGGAGAGGTACCCAGTATTCACTGTTACCCTAATATACACAGTGGTCATTTATCTCTCGCTTCACTGTTATATAATGACTGTTGTTTATCTAAACGACTAACTTATGAATGTAGAATCTTGCACAAAAGTATGCTGGTTCTAAAGCCACCATAATTTGTAGAAACACACTTAAAAGCAGAGAATTTTACAATGGACAATGACAACAAGTAACTGAATGCAACTCAGATGTGAAGTGGAAATCAAAGTCTATCACGCATATTTCGGCCTACGAATACTCATTCATTGATTCATTGTGCTGTATGTTGCCTTACATTACATGCAGACTACATTTACTCACTTCTTTGATAGCATCAATGTAAACAGCGTGAAGAAGAATACATTTCTTCATCTCTTTAGTGTATTAAACAACAGCGTATATGGTAAAGAATATTCGCTTGATGATAGTTAACCGTGGCCAACTTTTTTAGCTGTCAAATGTACAATTCGATTACCCTTCATAGGTAGTTTAATTAAGTTAGCCTTCTTTTTAATTGGATACTATTCAGTAACTGGTGTAATGTGTCTAGTCCCATCTTTGGTGCAGATTGAATCGTATGTGGCCACCACACTAGGTGGCTTGCCATTACGGTGCACTGTGAATTGTTAGTACTAAATAGTTGGAGACAGTCTTCTGGAAGCTTCGGCCTAGGTTTCGTGTTAGTTGGCACTAACCAGTCAGCAAGACGCGTCTGAAAACTTGAAGGAACTCATGTCCCTTCTGAGGAAGTCAACCGCGAGCTCGAATAGCTCAATGGTAACGTCTCTGGGTGACACGGGTTCGAACCTCACGAGGGATATGGGTTCCTTCAAAGTTGCAGATACGCCTTGTTAACGAGTGCCAATTAGAACGAAATCTATGTCAAGCAAGGCTGCCTGCGAACTGCCTCCAATCATCTAATACCAACAATAGCTTTCTTTGTTACTGAAACTGTCCATTCAAGGAGTAGTTTTTCTTTGTTTTGATATGAACCATTCATCGCGAAAATGTTTATTAATGTCTAGTCACAAAATGGATATTAATGAATGACTCATATGAACTGTGATCAAGATTAGATCGAATAGTTCTCAAATGATTTAGTGCTCAGTGAGAAATAAACATATGCTTTTTCCATGACCATGAAATTTAGTCGAAAGTAATCATCAAAAATCTGAAGCAAAAGTACATACTGTTTAACAAAAATAGACTACTATCTGTAATATTTGTAATTCTGTGGTTAAATTTTGATCAAAATTCATGTAATTTTGTGAATTATGTTTCGCAGTTACTTTATGACTCATATGATTGAACAAGGGTTTTAAAGACAAGATATGTCCCTTCTTAATATACATACATACAAAACAACACTTGGGTACCACTGTCATGCTTACTAGTGACTAGCCCTGTTCAGGTAGGAATTCTTAACTAGTAGGGTACAGGAGGTTGGATGTGAGGGCAAATACTCGCCATGGATGAAGTTGGCTAGTGGTCGCGCTATGTGGTGATTTGGCGGAAGTTGGAATCCATGTACTGACCACTGTGTAGGTCCCAATGGTTTAATGGTCTGTGAGCTAGCCTTGAAGCCTGAATGTCCTGGGTTCGAAGCCTGGTTGCGGGTGAAACTGGTGAAGAGTCCCAAATTAGGATGAAACAGCTGTCCAGTGCTACCAGCTGGTTTTCTAATGGTTCTCTAACTGATGTCAGCTCATGATGAAATCCTGTAACCAGTTAGAAATCGATAAATACGCTGGGGGCGGGGTATTAATGAACATCTGTTTCATCCCAACTTGGAACTCTTCAGCAGTACACACCCATGATATTATTGGGGATCTATGACATTAGCTGGAGGTTGCTCCATGAATTGTGAATTGACAGAAGTTAGGAATCATGTACCATTGAATCCCCTCCCAATGGCTGAATGGACAACGAGCTTGCCTGGTCACGTGAATGTCTCGGGTTCAGTTTCTGGTGAGTGCTTCTGAAGCGTATTCTTCAAGATGATGTATGATCTCGAAAGGCGTAGATAAATGAAGACAAGTGGGGAAGAACTGAAGTTGGGAGTTGCGTAATAAGTGTGAGTAATAACTGACAATTCTTTAATTTACAAAATAGACCGAAGCCATTGGAAACACGGTAAAGTGTTCACACAAAATCAGTATTAGAAATACAGTGTTATTAATCAACACAATAAATGTGAGTAAGGCATTAAGAAGCAAATTTCGCGAGATGATCATCATTTCGTAGTTTCTTTACAACCGCTTTACAACTAACATGGTTAACAATGATAAAATAAAGTTCATGAAAATTACTCAGTTAAATAAAAAACAAAAGTACATACAAATGACCAATCTTATTTAAGTAGGTCATGTAGTCCATGCTAGGCGAAGGAAGGTTGAAGTCTATTGTCCTTTGTACACACAGTTTAGGCTGTATGTGATAATCCTCCAAAGTGCTTCCATCACCTTCGATAACCAACCTTGAATTAGAGTTATGTGATGAAATAATTGTGAAGCAATCATTAATATTGATTTTATGACCTGACATTAATAAGTGCTTTGCAGTGGATGATGATGCTGGATTTCTATTCAGAGTAATCGCGTTGGGATTTTCGATATGATTTACTAGCCATTTTGGAACATGTTCTTTCCGATGACATTGGAACATTCTGTTGGTTCTACCTATATAGGTGTCACCGCAGCTGCAGGTGAACTTGTAGATACAGTCTGAAGTAGAGTTCACAGAATTTCGTCCTTTAATCGTAGGTACAGGGATCGAAAATGTTCGGCAAGTGAGAAAAAGAGATGCGACGTAGAACGTGCGTTTGATGGCTGACCGAAGTCTTTGAGTTAGCTGTCAACTGCATAATCTGGTCACCCTTGAATGGTAGGTTAACAAAGGTAGATAGCTTTCTTTGGTACAGAAGCTGTCTTTTCGAGATGTGGTGTATCCTTACTGTGACAAGTGATAAAGTTCTCCGGATAACCATTAGCTAATAAAACTAAATGCATATGTATAACTGTGATAGAAATTATTATGAAATAATGATAAACTAAAACATGGTATGGTGAGTAACTGACTGGTTTTTTTTCACATTTATGCCTTAGGTCATCCGTGAAATTTCAATGGAAATACGTACAATGGATAAAGAAGTTCGTCAATGGCCAATGTTTCAAGGTTTAGAGGCTGAATTAAAAGATATTAATGCATCAGTAACAGCTGTAAGAGATCTACAAAATCCTGCAGTCAAGTCTCGTCATTGGACAGAATTAATGCAAGAAACTGGTCGTCTAATAGAAATCACTGATACAACAACCCTAGCTGATCTACTATCATTAAATTTGCATAAATTCGAAGAAGAAGTACGCGCTATTGTATCAAAATCATTGAATGAACAAAAAATTGAACGTGATCTTGACAAGATTGAACAAGTATGGAGTGAAATGAAATTTGAATATGATACACACGATAGAACAGGTTTGAGTTTACCAAAACAAACAGATTATTTAACTACAACCCTTGAAGAAATACAAGTTAAAGTATTAGATATGTTAGGCAATCGAGATAATGCCTATTATATTGATAAAATTAATTATTGGCATAAAACTCTATCCCTTACTGACCAGGTACTCGCTATCTGGTTTGAAACACAACGTGTATGGTCTGGTTTAGAGTCAATATTTGTTCTATGTGATGATATCAAAGCGAAATTGCCGAAAGATACAGAATTATTTATGTCACTGGATAAAGATTTTCGTGTTCTAATCGATGAGATACAAAGTAAACCAAAAGTGTTAGATGCTACAACTACACGACTAGAATTACTCACTGATATCCAAAAGGTACGAGATGGTCTGGCGATTTGTGAAAAGGCTTTAGCTGATTATCTAGAGACAAAACGTCTAGCCTTTCCAAGATTTTATTTTGTCTCACAGAATGATGTGACTGATATTGTTAGCAATGGAAAAGTCCCGCTGAAAGTGATACGTCATTTATCAAAATTATTTGATAGTATTTGTAGTCTAACATTTGCCAATCCTGAAGCTACAATTAAACATGCTACGCATATGATTGCTAAAGTAAGTTTTGCCGCCATCTTGTTTTGTTTACCATTTTCTTCTTTATGTTTTTATTTTATATTTTTTTTTTTGGTGAGGTTCAAGTGGAACATAAGGCTTCAAGTACCATGTGATTTTAGAGCAGACATAGTTAGAGCGAATAATTGTGGTTTCAATAAATTCTTCTTCAGGCTTTATAATCATAAGTCCATTGATTTTTCCGAGTTGATCACGGATAGACATTAGTTAGAGAACCATTGAAAACCAGGGAGTACTGGACAGCTGTTTCATCCTAGTTTGGGAATCATCGGCAGTACGCACCCACCACAGGGTTTCGAACCCAGGACCTTTCGGTTACAAGGCAAGCTAACTCGTATACCATTCAGCCACTGGGACCCGATTCAATGACCAGTCCATGAATTCTAACTTCAACCAATTCGTGATTTAGCGTACTACCGATGATTCCCAAACTAGGATAAAACAGCTGTCCAGTACTCCCTGATTTTCAATGGTTCTCTAACTAATATCTATCTGTGATCAACTTGGAAAAAACATAACTAACCCTTACAAGCCAAACTATAGAAAATAAGTCCATCGATTTAAGCATACAATAGCTAGTCAGTAAAGGCAAGTTAGATTAATACCAGAAATGTGTATTGTGGGTCGAATATACGATGGGGGTGGAACAAAATTCAACAACGGCACAGGTTTCGAGGGTGTGTGTAATCGATGGTGTGTGTGAGAGAGAGAGAGACAGTATGAATACTTAGTGTTCTTCAGCAAATTATTAGTATCACGCCTTGCACCTCTGTCATCACATAAAATGTGTCCCGACCAAATGAAAGGTATTGTAGAGTTTTATACTTAGTCATCAGAGCATAAAAACTTCAATAATTGCTTCTAGGTTGACCTACTTGATGAGATGATGCAAGGACAAAGTTGTGTATGTATACACAGGATGCTCAGGGGCTGACATAATAATACTCGGTAATTTCTTGTATGAGTCCATGTATATACCCACGACAGTATTAAAGAGTTGGTTCAGTGACACCCTACTCGCCCTACTAATGACTTTTAATGTTCTTCATAATGTAATAAAGTCTTTGTTAAGTATTCCAACGAAGATTAACGTGGGGGGAAAGCAATTGTTAACAGACTTTAAGTGGAAAGACTGAATGATATCAGACTGTCTTCTCTTCCTTACATAGGACGTTAGAAGAAGTATCTTATAGCAGTCAACCAATCGGATGCTTGTTGATGCTAATGTGACATCTGTGTCTGAAGGTGAGGCATCCTGGGTACTAGTCCTCGCTTTACTGGTACTAATATCAGTGTACTGAAATCTCCCAATCAGGCATGGAACATGTAAGTTACATACAAGTACGTATGCGTCACGTTAGGAATCTACTGATGATGGTATTAGAACCAATCAGCCGATTATCGATTTTATCCGCTGTGCGCTGGCTAGAATATCGGTCTGTCTGTCTGTCTACTTTCGACATAGAACTTTGCACATATGTGCGTTAGTTCAAGTCGCCACACTCCATGTAGAACACAAAGCAACACAAGAAAGTAGAAGAAACGCATATTAGAGACAGTAAACAGAGGTGTGAGACAAAGGAATAGTAATAACAAAGAACAATAGAGTTTCATTGGAAATTGTAGGTCACAAGGAGTGGATGCATCTACGCCAGCCATTGAGAACGATTTTGACCCATATCACCAATTGTCTCCAGCTGTCATAGATTTTTACCTTCCCGAGGACCCCAATCAGGAAGTCTACATCTCCCTACCTGGCTGGCTTAAACTAACTGTTGTAGATCTCATTGACTGGTGCCATGTTTTGGTTTGACCGCTGCTAGCTCTTTTCCAGCCTGACTGTATGTCAGCTAACATTGCCCATTCTCGAGGAAGGCGATGACTAGGCATGCATACGTAACACGTATCATAACCATCTCAGTCGATGTAATTTCACAGCCTCGTTGATTGATTTCTCCTCCCACCTACCTAGCACTCGACCATGGCCTCACCTCAATATTCCTCACCTTATTATGCCACTTCACACGGAAGATAGATCGCAGGCACCTATGAGCAAAGAAAGCCAGCAGGTCTTTTCATGTCTTCCACTCTCAATGGCCATGTCTCACTCGCAGTGACAAAGGAGGACGGAGCGGACTGATGAGCAGTGCACCCGCCCCTTGTTTGATAGCCAGCCGGATATCACGTCTACTCCAGAGACGGCGTAAACTGGCATATGGGAAACTAGCCCTCTGTATCCGTGCTGAGATTTCGTCAGAGATCAACCCGTTGGCGTTGGCTGATGGTACTTCCCAAATAAGTGAAGCGGTCAACGTGCTCTACTACCTCACTCCCTATTTCTAAACTAGGATTCAGTGTAGTCCAGTCCAGTCCTGTAACATCATCTTACATTTGGCGGGAGCGAATCGCTTGCGAGACATTCGTAGATTGCAGCTCAATGTATTCAAAAGACTCTGCGTTTTGTCAGCCTCTTTACCTAGGAAAGAGGACTATATCATCTGCATATTCTAAGTCGACGAGATCATTCCCTGGTAGCAAGTCAATCCCTGTGTCTTTGAAGTGAGTTAGGGTTAAGTCCATCAGTACATCTATGATGAAGTTGAAAAGAAATGGGGATAATGGGCATCCCTGACGGACACCACTAGTCCTCACCACTTCAGATGACAACTCGCCGTAAGCCCTCACCTGGCTGTACGAGTTCAAGTAGAGTGCCTTGATCAGTGCAATGTATTTTCTTCGCATTCTCTTTACGGCCAATCATCGCTAGAGTACCTCTCGGTGTTATTCGACTAGTCGGAAATCATTCATGCCAAGCCGTAGAGGTTGGTGGTCTGACATTTAGCAGTTGTCGTAATATCAGATATTATAATTTAACCCGGAAGAAGTTATGAGTGCTTCATGAAATATGATATTTATCACCATTCAACAGCAAGACGTATTTACAGACTGAGGGAAAGTTGAGAACATATGAGTCAGTAAAGAGATCTCTTCTTATATCTTCATTTGAAAGATGTACACTTATTTAAGAGGTTTATATATCCCGTATAGATTGACATTACGGGTTAAGGGTTATTGTCAGTTAGGATTGTTAAGGCTTAGGTGACCTGAAGAAGATATGGGCGAAATCCCTTCGGATGTCCTAATTGTACTTTATATCTGACTGACTCTAAAAGAATAAGTCTCTGCTGATAATAATATTAATAATTTTTGCTTTATTCCAAAAACAGTACTAGTGATACAGAAAGGAATTTTCAGTATTCAGTACAATATTGCATCTAATTTACTCAAAAACGAAAAAAAATAAAAAATGAAAACAAACATTACAATAATAATAATAAAACGTTGTTATAGCAGCTATGTAGCAAATTACTGTATGCAATACGAAGAAAAATATGCATAAAGTATAAAATTACAGTGATAATAGTAATAAATTCTAAAATAAAATAGCAAAGTTATAATTAAACGATAGAAAGGGTGACACCATAAAATTACAGAAAGATGACTGATAAAAGGGTCGATTCACTTTGCTAATTACATAGTAACTTATGTGTTTCACGTCTAACAGAATCTTCGTCACATAAGGTACGGGCTAAATAGGGTATTGTAGAATTTCTTTACTGAGTGGTACGAGCATATAACTTATTATATTGACTTCTCGTCCTACCTGATGAGATACAAGGGGATAGTTGTGAATTAAAGGGGGTGCAGAGGGTCTGACAGTGCAGCCTTTGGCCATTTTGTACAGGAATTTATGTGTCTCTCGACCATAGCATTGGCGAGCTAACGCAGTGGCACACCACAAGCCCTACTCACAGCATTTAATACCTTTAGTAATGTGATATAGTTTTTTTTGAGAAGCCCAGGAAAGCTTAATGGAGAGCAATAGAGTACAATAGGTAAAATACAAGAGTTTACAAACTGCAGAAGTAAAGGTTGGATGACACCTGATTGTCTTAACTTTTTAATGTAGAAGGTAAGACGAAACATTTTCTTACAGATAGATAAGATGTGGGATGACCATGAAAGGTCAGAGGAAAGAACTGATCCAAGGTGCTGCGTAACCAGAATTGGTAATAATATACTTCAGAACTGAGGTGTTAGCTGTTCTACATCCTTCCTTTTGACAAACATGGTGGTAAGTATTCACGGACACATCCAGACAGTGTCCTACTGGTTCACGGCCTATGTAAACAACTCCACAGGAGAAACAAAATCGGTAAATACACATTGAAGTTCAGAACAATATGCAATATGGCCTTTGACGTTTCAGTGAATAAGAGCATGTGTGAAGGAGATGAGACGGTGAAATGCAGCTGTAGAGAACGTTTTTGAATTGCTGTCGACAGGCAGCTTCGTAGAACCTCACTAATTGTATATTTCCATAATTTCAGATATACAATTAATTGTTTCTTTGGTAAATTTAGGTTTCGAGAGGGGTATCGGTCATTCTCTTTGGATGTTTGCCTCTGAAAGAGGAGGTTGAATGTCCAGTGTTGTGAGCAGAAATTTTCCAAAGAATTCCAACTCCTTATTCAATGCATCTTCAGTGCATATAAGGTGGATTCTTGTCACCTGAGAGGCGATTAGAGTTCTTTTTCTGTTCTGCTTCCGTTTCAGTTTTGAATTAAACTGGCTGATGAATGTTGCTGAAGATTCACACGATTTTTATTTAGGTCAGTATTTTCATCACTGATGATAAATATATCATCCATATACCCCTTGTGAACTTCAAACCGTCTGATCGTTGGTAAGCGAATATTTGACTCAAGGTACGCCGTGAAACAAACGACCAGTAATGGGCCAAGTGGAGAACTTATTGTTCCTCTAACTTTCTGTACAGCTTTGAATTGAAGTTACGAAATGAGATCTTTATTTTACGAAATGATCACTGATTGACATCGGTTAGAGGAGCATTGAAAACGACGGAGTACCACCAGACAGCTGTTTCGTCCTAATTTGGGAATCATCGGCAGTACGCACCCACCACAGGGTTTCGAACCCAGGACCTTCCGGTTGCAAGGCAAGCTCGTATACCATTCAGTCACTGGAACCCGATTGAATGTCTCATGAATTCTAACTTCTACCAATTCATGATTTAGCACTTACAAACCAAACTATAGAAAATTAATCTCATGCTCGCTAGTGACTTGCTACAGGATGGAGTTTCCTAGAGTTCTAATGAGAAGACGTGACCAGTGGAGTCCATCCAGATGTCACGTGTGAGGATGGATGTCCCGCCGACGACATTGGTTGTGGTGGCGCTAAATCACGAATTGGTAGAAGTTAGAATTCATGGACTGGTTATTGAATAGGGTCTCAGTGGATGAATGGTATACGAGCTTGCCTTGCAACCCTGGCAGTGGGTGCGTACTGCCGATGATTCCCAAACTAGGATGAAACAACTGTCCAGCACTCAACGGTTTTCGGTGGTTCTCTAAGCGATATCAATCCGTGATCAACTCGTAAAAACAAAACTAACCCTTGCAAACCACACCACAGAAAATTAATCTGATGTTCGCTGGTGACTTGCCACAGGAAATGAAATCTCCTTGCTGACTCATTTGTTTTCAATTTCATGAAATAAAATTTTTTCATTCACAGAGAGGAAACTTGTATCATTCACCTCTGAAATGATATACTTCATCCATAAGATGTTAAATGATAAAAGGATTGAACTGATTTAGACAGTCATCTAGGCTGGTTAACAAGAGTAGAATCTCTTAAGAAGCAATAAAACCTCGGTTCACTTCAACACAAGTTGATGCTGACAAAATATCTACGTTCGACTTTCTCGAAGCATGAGATTCATTGAGACACAGACATGAATAATACATCAACCATCTCATCTACTTCCCCATCATCGAGTGAATTTTGTCCCAATGTTGAAGTACATAATGACAGATTACTTCATTCTGATTGGTCAGTTGGGGAATTATATCATCCAATCAGGTTGTAGCAAACTTGTGATGATATACCATGAACGAATATTGACCCATTGGATTTCAGCATAGAATTATACAATCACAATCATTTTTATAGTTGTAGAAATATACACGCATACACATACACACAATAAGCATTATAAGATTCGTATAGGATATTTCACCTAAAAGTTGGACATAATCTATCCAAAAATAAGGATACATTAAACTTCTCTTTATAGAAAATTCAGAGGAATGATGTTGATGGGAAATCTAGTTAATTCACTGTCCTTATTACAGGTCGTTTGGAAGTAAACAACAAAACAATATCTGAAAAGGCGATCAATAAATATTCGAAATGTCATTTTAATGGAACACTTTTAATAAAAATGCACCCGAAAAGCGCCAAGAAAGAAGAGGAAAGAAAAAATGGACAAAACTTGCTGATACTTGATTTTGGTGTCTATCTAACTGAATGATGGTTTGAGCTAAAAAAAAACTCGCTGTTATTCAGCACAGAGACCTACGAAACACAACAGTATATGACGGAAACTATTCTTATACTGCTGAAAAGATGTAGAAGATAGATTTTAAAGGCAAATGACGAGTCAACTACAAGTTTTGACCAGTTAGGTTAAGGCAAAATGTTTAGTCCAAGAGTTGCATAGAAAACACAGGTCTTGTAACGGCCCAAATCAACTTGTCATGGTCTAAACGCAGGAAACTAGTGTCGGTGTCCTACTGCACAGCTGTCTGAGAATCTTCTTCCCATAGGCACAGTCACAAAGCGCTCCAGAGACAACAGAAAGACGATTATTCTTTATAAGATCTTTAAACCCTATTACCAACAGTTGGAAGTCATTGGTTCTCAGCATTCTAATGACCTTAATCACGCAAGACAAGTAATATTAATTTCCCGTTCAGGAGCTTCCGATACCTGTCGTTGGATTATGCCTCAGACTTTAGGTAGTGAGAAGGCACGAATACGTTAGGCGGATGGAAAGACTCTAGAAGATCTGGATTTCGCAGATGATTAATGTCTACTCTCACACAAACTCCAACATATACATGTAAAAACCAACAAATTGGCCGAAGAAGCAGCTGGAGGAGACAGGACTCCAGGTGAACGTGGAGAAGACAGAGGTGATGAAGATAACCAAAGAACAACAACAGTAACAACAACCGGCACAGATCACCATAAACGCGAGGGATTTGACAGAGGTTACTTCATTCACTTATCCGGCCAGGAGGCACGGTTTCAACCACAGACAGTTGGAAGGCATAGATGAGGGTGTCAAAACCAGCCAGCCAGAATCGGAAAGGCAAGATACACCTTCGTCAATCTGAAACCAGTTAGGAAATCTCCTGAGTTGCACTCAACCAGCATAGAGAAGAAGATTCGGATTTTCAACACAAATGTGAAGTCAGTCTCTTCTTCTCTATGGGCGAGAAATTTTCAGTGTGTGTCACGGAAAGGATTTCCAACAAGTTACCGACTTTTATCAACAGTGTCTTCGCCCGCCGGCCGGCCGTCCAGAAAGAATCAGCAACAAGAAACTTTGGCAGTGAACAAACCAACAGGCGGTAGCGGATTGCTAAACAAATGGAGATGGATTGATGGGGTATACTTTGAGGAGGCCATCGAATGACACCGCGCTCAATGCAGGCCATCGCTTGAGTGGAATCCCAATGGAAACGAAGATTAGGGCTTCCGTTTCTGTTCTTTCTCCGTTTCTCTTTTCCTTCTTCTTACATGATTTACCTCTTTCAGACGAAATCAACTTCGTAAAATATCCAGATAACCTGACTGTTTCGCTTCCCGTTAAGTCTCAGTCAGACTGTTTCAAATTAAATAGCTTCCTGTCAGGCATCAGTCAGTGGTCCAAACTAAATGGCCTCATGCTGAATCCCTCAAAATGCCAGACTATTTGGCTTTTCCTTTAGGCATAAACGAGATCTGCGAACACTAGTAAGTACTCATGAAGCCTGTCGCATTGAGGGGACTAAAATTGAAACTAAGTCTAATGCAAAATACCTCGGTCTAGTTCTATCTTCCGACCTTACTTGGTCATCTCATATCTTAACGATTTCTAACAAAGTGTCCCATCTAACCTACTACATTAAGAAACTTAGACTATCTGGAATCACCCAAACTCTACTTTCACAATTTGTCAACTCTCGTATCTTACCTATTCTACTTTACCGCTTCCCGTTAGTCTTTCCTAGGCTACTGAAAAAGGACTATACCATTCTGAGAAGGATGTTGACGGTAGTTAGTAGGACTAGGGGTGTAAAACTCAGTTAACTCGTCACTACATTAGTAGAAAGTTATCTGAATACATGCGAGAAATGGACTAAAACCATACTTTCCGACCCCCAACACCCCCTCTATTCCCAACTCTCTCCCTGCATCTCATCAGGTAGAACCAGAAATCAGTACAAAATAATATGTGCTCGTACAACCGGGTACAGGAACTCAACGATACCATATTTGACCCGTGTCCTAAGTGACAGAGACAATGTTAAGCGTGAAACCTATGACTTGCTTTGTTGTTAATATCATAATTTTAAGCTTTTTTATTTCTCTCTTATTTGTATTCTATGGTGAACACCTTCCTAAACATACTTAGCTACCTAAATTATTAACATTGAGTTACTTTTTTTGTACTTTACTCTATTCCTTCTTTTGTGTATCTACTGGTTCCGACTATATTATCACTATGAGTGTTACAAAATTGTCCTGTCATTAACCATCATGTAATATTAGTTTTGTTAATGGTTTTTTTTGTTCGGCAATATTAACTGACATTCTTGGTTTGTGAACGCCATTATCACCATCTTAAAAATGTTGTATTATGCAGGATTACTCACACTACCCACTACAAACACCGCATTAGAGCTGACAATAAAAGACAACCCTGAAATGTTATTTTGTGACTGTTTAGTGTTGTTCAATCAAATTGACTGATCATCATGACGATAAACATTCTTAAATATCATTTCATAACTTCTGTCACCAAGCATAAATATATCATACCTTCTACTACCCAATACTGAAATATTATTTATTATGTTGTTTATTTTCTTTTCTATTTTTTGGTATTTTTCACATCTTGTATTTTTTTTCTGTTTTTTGTTTGTTTTTGTTGTTGTTGTCTTTATATTTATTTTTTTTGAAATACTCCTTTTAAATGTTTGATAAAATTAGATGCAATATTTGTAGATATATGCTGAATATTCCACACTGCGCCACTAGTACTGTTTCTGAAATAAAGGAAAAAAAACATGGAGGAGATCGTCCGGGGAGAAAGAGATGAGAGATTATGGGTAATTGTGGACCCAGCTGAAGAGGATTTTAGGAGCCATATGCTCCACTAGGTACCGAGAGAGAATAATAGCAATAATGATAGTGGTCCCCTTCAAAAATGATCTGTAATAATTGTAGCTTTCACCCACCTGCCTTTATCTTCTTATCAACATTTACGCCTTCCTTTCATTCTTTTCTCTCTCTCTCTAGGATAGTGAAGTAGTGAAATTCACAAAATCATTTGATTTACAAGGTCAAGTTGAAGAATGGTTAAATAAACTGTTAGATGAAATGCGCAACACTCTGCGTCACATTCTTGCAGATGCAGTCAGTGCTTATGAAGAGAAACCAAGAGATCAATGGATATTTGACTATCCGGCGCAGATAGCTTTAACCGGTTCACAAATCGGTTGGAATAGTGAAGTGTTGATTGCATTTGCTCGACTAGAAGAAGGCTTAGAGAATGCAATGAAAGAGTATAATAGAAAACAAATTGCCCAACTGAGTACATTAATACAAATGCTATTAATTGATCTGTCAGCTGGTGATCGACAAAAATTATGACTTTATGCACTATCGATGTACATAATCGTGATGTTGTCGGAAAGTTGATATCACAAAAAGTTGAAAGTTCACTAGCTTTCACATGGTTATCCCAGTTGAGACATAGATGGGATGATAAATCACACGATTGTTTTGCTAATATCTGTGATGCACAATTTCGTTATGCTTATGAATATTTAGGCAATACACCAAGACTGGTCATTACACCGTTAACTGATCGATGTTATATCACACTGACACAATCACTGCATTTATGTATGAGTGGTGCACCTGCTGGACCAGCTGGCACGGGGAAAACAGAGACAACAAAAGATTTAGGCCGTGCACTAGGCATTATGGTCTATGTGTTCAATTGTTCTGAACAAATGGATTACAAGTCAATTGGTAATATTTACAAGGGATTAGCACAGACTGGTGCATGGGGATGTTTTGATGAATTCAATCGGATAGCAGTGGAAGTTTTATCTGTTGTCGCTGTACAAGTAAGTGGATATATATAGATATATTTTTTCCCACTTGTTTGAGCAGTAAGTTTTATAATTATTTAATATTTTTTGATTACAGCTTTATTCCACATCGTAGTTTTTGGTACAAGTATGGAATTTTTAAGCATGTGATGTTGGTAGCCCATGTAGCATGGTCGGCGAGAGTCCTAACCGCTGTGCCACGACACACAAATAACATGATTAAGATTTAAAATTAGACACCCGCTAACAATGATTTATGAAACGATAAAGTCGTGGAAAATACCCATTGGGACATTAGAGAGAAAAGAACAAGAAGTTCAGCAAAGATTTCATTCTCAAAAGCAGCTGTACAATCGCATTTATATACATTAGTGTACATGGATACAATTGTTATTTATTTACTTAATTCCACATAGTAACGAAGTTGATGATAATTTTCAACTTGATATGAATTACAAGAGCCTCAGAAACAAATGTTACGCAGAGATAGAACGAATTACATGTGTGAACAAAATGAGCATGGAAACAAACTGAAATCAAATTTTTCAACTTGAAATGTAAGTTAGGAGGTGTGAATATAGACAACAAGAGGCATAGAAACAAAAAAATTACACAGGATTAGAATATAAGTGTAAAATGGTTATTCTAAACGGATTACAAGTGTGATCAGGAGAAGCATGGAAACAAACTTAAAATAAATGATTTTATAACTGAAAAAAATGGGATGAATTGAATGAAGACAAAAAGAGAAAATTACACACACACAGAGAACAAAACAAAACAAAAAAACTGAAGGATAGGGGGAACATACCGAACTACGTCCATTGTAGTTGTAAAGGCTGGACTAGTTTCTTTTGAACACATAGCTCCGGCTTTCCGATGCATATGGTGAGAGCTTCCGCAATACAAAGAAGTCAGAAACGCACTGTCTTTGGTAGATTTTTGTTTACTTTGTGAATGACTCTGAATTATGAGTCAGTTGAGATTCTGTAGCAGGTATTGACGAGGTAGGTGTTCAGTTATTGCGTTTCTGATTGAACCAGTGCCTCCTCCTCTTTGCAGCTATGCTGGATGATGTTCTCTAACACGTTTTGATAAGACCTGCATAGAACGACCTCTGTACCTAGCTCCACAGGAGCAGGTGAGGTGATATATGCACAATGAAGTGGTTATATGCGGAAGTCTGTCCTCCCCGTTGCTCCGAAGTAGTGGACGGCTAGAGAATTTATATACGTACCTTCAAACTTTCATATCAAGTTGAAAATTATTATCAACTTCGTTGCTATGTGGAATTAAGTAAATAAATAACAAGTGTATCTATGTAAACCAATGTATATAAATGCGATTGTACAGCTGCTTTTGAGAATGAAATCGCCGAACAAATCGCCGACTTTGCTGAACTTCTTGTTCTTTTCCCTTTAACTATGAAGTGTTGATTAGCAGGGATTTGTTAGGTTAGAGGTTTGATTATGAAGTGACATAAGTTAGAGAACAGCTGAATAGCCACCAGGGATTACTAGACAGTTGTTTCGTTCTAGACAGGGACTCTTCAGAGGCACATATTCATCACCCCATGAGGGACACAACCTCCAGGTTAAAGGACAAGCTCGTTGATTATCTAGACACTTGGAAGGAATCATTAGTGCTGATTTGGAATAAAGAGAATTATTAGTATTATTACTATTAGTGCAAGTGCCAGCTAGTGTCATCAGTGAGTGTTTATCCTCACAGGGAACTTAATGGAACCCAACGCTCATGACTTCCTAATAATGAGCAATAGATTAGTTAGTTATTTTATTGAGTTGTCCTCTGTGAAATTAAAGAATATTTGGGTACTGGTTACATTGCTTCGTAATTTATTGGCCCCTAGTTTAATTTTCTGAAACTAGACTTTGTCGTCAGAATTAATGGATACTTCAAATAAACGATCTAACTGACTGGGTTATTTGTCAGACTGTGCATTGGAAGTGAGAAGACACAAATATGTTCGGCTATAAGAAGATGCCAGAAGATCCAGTGGATTTCTAGGTGGATGATTTATGTCTCATGTCAGACAAACTCAAAGATCTATAGGCGAAAACTAACAAACCGGATGGAGAAGCCGGCAGATAAGATAGGACTATAGGTGAACATAGAGAAAACGGACGGGGGTGATGAAAATAACCAACTAGCGACAACCACAACAAGCAACATTAACATCAACGCAATAGATTTGAGGGAGATCACTTACTTCAGTTATGCATCCAGGAAGCATCTTTTCAACGACAGCCGGCCAGCATAGATAGGGATTTCAATACCTGAATTGTAAAGAGGAGATAGACTTTCATCACTTCAAAGTCAGTTTGGAAATCTTTTGCATTCAGCATAAAGAACAAGATCCAAGCTTTCAACACTACTTCGAATTAAGTTTCTTCTAAAAACGGTAATGTACCAATTTTGATTTGGAAGTTAGATCACTTTATGATCGCAGTTAGAGAACCATCGAAAACCAGGGAGTACTGGACCGCTGTTTCGTTCTTGTTTAAGACTCCTCATCAGTACCTATCCATTATTACAACAAAGGGAACCCAAAATTGTGCGTCAGTGGCACAGTGGTTAGGACTCTCGCTGACCGTGCACATGGTCCGGGGCTCGAGCCCACGCCAACGCACACCTGATATCTATGGTCGTCCTGCGAAATTTGGGCTTCCGATATCCACGCTGAAAATTCCATACTTGTACCAAAAATACGGTGTGGAATCAAGCTGTAATCAAGAATAAGATAAAAATAAAAAATGAAGTTACGGTGTGAGCCCAGTGACGATTCAGCCAATGGGACCCGATCGAATGATCCATGAATTCTAACTTCTTCCAGTTCACGACATAAAGCACCACCATCAGCCAATGTTATCAGTGAATATTTGTCCTCACGCCCAAAATTCAATTTCGCTTGACTGTTTCAAGGACTGCAGGGTCGAGTACTTTTACCATATACATATATTTGTATCATCATTTGATATGACATACTTTGATAACCAATAGAAAGTCAGAAACAAGGATTTTCATAGCAAGTCTTAAGTATTACCTTATTGATGGTGTTGTTCTGCAAACTGTTCACATTATTTCAAATTTCTTAGTGTGTGTCTTAAAATAGATCAAAGGTACCTGAGATTGTGTTTCCTTTTATCCCTTCTGAGTTCTGAAGGGAACATACACCTTCGAGCTTGAGTTCTGAAGCTTCAGTAGCATTTCCTGTCTTAATGTTGGCTAGACGAGATTTGGTAGTTCATCGGTCAAGAATCTAACTCCCTACCATGTACACAGTTGACTTAGATGTATAAAATATTATGAACTGTTTGAAATTAACTCCGATTATTTGAAATGAATCCTTCCTAATACTAACCAATAACTGCTCATGTGCTCAGTGGTGCCATGGTGCCATTTTGGTAGCTGAGTTGATTGGTTGTGTATGGTCGAGGTTATCATTGGCTGCTATTGCATAGTGTTGTCAATTATTGATTTCTGTCTGTGTAATTCAGTAGTATATGCCATGTTTCTGCTTAAGTTTTTTTTCCTCCTATAATTCCTTCTTCTTTTACTTTCTCTATTCGAATTCTATGTGTCTAGGTGAAATGTATTCAAGATGCAATCCGGTTGAAGAAGGAGAAATTCAATTTTCTTGGTGAAGTAATACCACTTGATCCAGCTGTTGGTCTTTTCATTACAATGAATCCAGGTTATGCTGGTCGAACAGAACTGCCTGAGAATTTAAAGGCATTGTTTAGGTATTTGACACCTAATATCTGATTTGATTTTATCATGTAACTCTTGTAATTACTTGCCTCTTGCATATTTTGCCACATTTTCTTTGCACTTCGGGTGGTACACAGGGCTTCTTCAACACTACATCTCCATTTTCGTCCCATTCTATATAGTCTCTTCTAGTTGACTCTATGGTTGCTTATAAACTTTCATCTGTTCCATATCACCCTCGGACCTACACTCAACTCTTTGTTTCGCATTCGGGTTCCACTTGAACGGTCAACTGGCGTGCTATATCATTCGGCGGTTTTCTCAGCGTGGTCTCCTATCTATCTCCATTTCCTCCAACATATTTATTGGGCGATAAGTTCTTGGTTGGTTCATTCTGAAAGTTTCTTCTTCCTGCTAGTTCTTTCTGGCCACCTGGCTATCTGATCTACAGAATGCAGCCATAGGAAGGTAGGTGTTGGTAAAAGTTTACAGCTTGCTGTTTGAAATGACTTTATTGAAGCGCAGTGTAAGTTTCTGACCAGTGTAGGTGAAGTGACTGACTGGTTTAACATTGATAGTAGTTGGTGTTTAATGTTGTTGGCTGGTTGGTTAGTTATCTTCATCACCACTGTCCGTTTTCTCCATGTCCACCTGAAGTCCTGTATTCGCCACCTGGTTCTTTTTCCGGTTTTTCGGTCTTCGCCTGTACGTCTTATGATTTAAGTGACAACCGACGTAAATCATTCGCGAAGTTTGGAACATCTAGAGTCTTCTTCTTCTTCTTCCTCACTTCCCATAGTCTGATGTATAATCCAGTCGACGACAATGAGGGATGATAGTCGACAACCACACCCTTGTCTTACCCCAGCATTCACTCTACACGCTTCACTGAGTTTTGTGTTGTGGACCACCTAACACGTGTTACTGTCATATATCTGTTGAATGAGGTTGATAAAGATTTGAGACACTACACTGTGTATTGTTGAAGCAAATATTAAATTGATTAAAAATGCCCATTAAAATTTTCAAAAAACGGATACTGAACAAAGAATACTCTTTTTGATGTGGTTGTGTTCTCTGAGCTGGATGGTTAATTTGCGAAGCTTTCACCTACTGGGTGACATCTTTTGGTTGACATAAAATTGAGTGAAGCGACTTTGTTGGTTTGTGTACAACGTCAATTCCTAAAGGTCTGAAGAGTCTTGTAGTGATTTCTGAGATATCCTTTATATATGGTAAGGCGATTTTCTTTGTGCTTTCCTTGGTGGCTTTTGCTTTGGTAGGTTGGCTTGGGGGTATATGTCTCTTGATGAAATTCCGTGGATATCCATTCTTTTGGAAGACGTCCATGAGATACTTTTCTTCAATTTTCCTTAAGGTGGGAGTGCTGCAATGAGTCCTTGCTCTCTTGAATAGTGTTTGTATGCAATTCCTTTCGTGTGTTATTGGGTTGTTGCTGTTGTAATTCAGGATTTGGTCTGTGTGAGTTGATTTCCTATAAACTTGAGTTTCTAATTCCCCTGTGGTTGTTCGCTTGACTAAGACGTCCAAAAATGGTATTTTTTCTCGGATTCCTCTTCTCTTGTGAATTTGATGTCGTTGAAGACGTTGTTTATTAAGTTGTGAGTTTTATCTAACTCGTTTCTTTTGATTATTACAAATGTGTCGTCGACGTAACGTATCCAAATCTTGGGTTTGATCTTTGGTAGAATTATATTTTTGAGTCTTTGCATCACTGCTTCTGCAATCAAACCTGATATTGGCGATCCCATGGGTGTTCCTTTGACTTGTTCATATATTTGGCCGTTGAATTGGAAGTATGTTGTTAGGCATAGGTTTGTGCATTCCATCCAGCTTGTGTGTTGCATTTTTGATTGTTGTGGAAGGTGTTCGTCGTCGCTAAGTAATTGCTCCATGGTTTCCTTTGCTAGTTTTTGTCCGATTGAGGTATATAATGCTGTCACGTCGAAGGATAGCATTCATTTCATTCTTCCATCTGAGCAGTAATCGATCAATATTATTGATTCGATGTTATTCAAACAACATTATTGTTGTTCATAACACTAATTCATTCATTCAGTATAATGTAGGCATAACTGTAGAGCTGATGATGAAGAGGTTATCGAAAAGAGTATTCTTTGTTCAGTATCCATTCATTTGACAATTATTAAATTTCTAATATTAGAGGGTTTTCAATAAGATGCTTGATGATGCCAAGTGTGACCATGACCAACAGATTCCATAAAAATTAAAAAAAAACAATTCAACTCAGAGAATGACATGAGGAACCACTTATAAAGTGGTATAATTTCAGAATGACCAGAGAATTATGAGAAGGTTCAATTAACCTTCATTTCACCAACAAATAAATCAACGTCTTCTCAATAACTTATCCTTATATCCCTATAATGCGTATTTTGATGTGATGACTCTTCACAAGACCAATCAATAACAACAGTTTCCTATTTTATTCAGAAAATTGTAAATTACGCATGGATATAAAAAGTGAAACTGTGATTAGTACTCACCATAGTCATAGCAAGTTTAAACTGTGTAGTCGAGAGATTAGTGTGATGACACAATCTAGTTTACAGGCATTTTCGTCGTTTCAAGTTATACCACCACCTGACGTCAGTCTGAGAGCCACTAAAAACCTGGGAAGCACTGAATAGCTGTTCCTTCCAAGACCGAAACTCTTCAGTAGTATGCATGGGACACTAAATTCTCCTCTCGCATCCCCTTGAGTGTCTAAATGATTAGCAAGCTCGCCTCACAACTCGGTTTCAGTCTCTAGAAATACTGTTGAAGAGTCCTAGATCATGACGAAACAGCTCTTCACTCTACTCTAGTTTTTTGATGTTTCTGTAACTCTGATTTCAGCTCATGATTTAACTTGCTTGCCTATTGTTTTTATTTTTAAAAATTGTCCCTCATTCTTACAATTTTATTTTTCATCTTTAGACCATGTGCTATGGTAGTGCCAGATTTTGAATTGATTTGTGAAATTATGCTTGTAGCTCAAGGATTTCTAGAGGCAACTATATTGGCGCGTAAATTTATTACACTATATGAATTATGCAAAGAATTACTTTCGAAACAAGATCATTATGATTGGGGTTTAAGAGCTATTAAATCAGTGTTGGTTGTAGCTGGTGCATTGAAACGTGGTAATCCTGAACACACTGAAGATTCCGTGTTAATGCGTGCTCTACGAGATTTCAACATACCTAAATTAGTCACTGAAGATATGGCTGTATTTTTAGGTCTTATATCTGACTTGTTTCCAAATTTAGATGCATCGCGTAAACGTGATTTAAATTTTGAAGCAAATGTAAAAGCAGCTACTGAAGATTTAGGCTTACAACCAGAGGATTCATTTATCTTGAAGGTTAGTTGAAGTAAAAGCTTCGCTTTACAATGCTATTGTTTTCTCCTGACGAATGTCATTTACTATTAGATTGATGATTGTTAGCACATTTCGTCCTGCTGAGGGACTCGTCGACTGGATGTAGTTGATCATCACCCGACTGAAAGTCATACCCAGCAACCATCTTTCTAATCGCCAAAGCATTATCAGCTGTGTCACTGGTGGTGAACATAGCCGTTCTTCGTTTGCCTCCAAGAACTCCAGATAAGCCAGAAAACAGAATTGGCAGTAGTTGGTGAGAATAACAAATTTATTAGACAAAATGACATCCTATGTTTATAGACCACGAATAATTAATTTGATTGGTTGTACATAGTTGGGCATCAGACGCTGTCCAATCAAACTGTCGTGAAGTTTTCTGCCTCATCAGTCAATAACTGAAGTTATCGATTTTTGTTAAAGTTGGTGTTAGAGCATTACTGCAAAATATAGTTAAGATTAGTACAAAATTAGGTGTGCGTATATGTAACAGAGTTTTTTATTAAAACAAAATGCTCAGCGTCTATTAAAAATGACTTCTGGCTGAGACAAGTGTACTGAATAGTGTGCGTGCGTTGCAAAGTAATTTCACTGGAAATAAAACAAGCTTACCACACAGTAAAGACACAACAAATGATTCTTAAGCTGAAATTGGATAGTCTTACAGCTATTATTGCTTTCGCCTGACCATTCTGTTACGCAGAAACTAGTTAAGACAATGACACTTAGACTGCAATCATAGTAACGTTCTACAGAAGCTATCAGAGATCTCAAACATTTTACCCATGAATTCCCCAAACTCGATGCTGGATAACAGAAATTTAAGGAGATTGAGTTTGCGAAAATGTATCCCTCGTCCCTTTCCTTTGCTTTCCGAGTGGAACGTAGAGCTTTCAGCCTCAGGTTTCAGTAGCTCTAGTGGGCTATTAGCGTCACAACCCCAAACTTCCTTCTTTTCCTTGCTCGTTATTGGCTTGTAGACTAGGCATAAGGTTTGGGAATGCATCGGTGAGAGGTTGAATCCCAAACCTAGTATGCAGTGGGCATGTATCCTTGAACTATGGCAGAGAGTGAACCAACAAAGCACCTATCGCCCAGCAAATATCCTGAAGAAAATGGAGGTGAACTCGACACACACTGGGGAGACTTCTGGGTAATCTCGCTCATCAAGCTCTCGGGTAGGACACAAGCTGGGCATCTGAAAGAGACTTGAAAGAGGTCCTGTAAGGAGAAGATGTCAGCTAATAGGCAATCAGGGGATTAGCTAAAGAGGGTTGAAAAGAATAGGATGGAATTGGAATGTGCTACTAAAGCCCTATGTTTCAGTCAGAACTTAGGGGGATAATGTTAAGTTTCTGTAAATACACTTTGAAAAACACAAAACTTCGTGCATACTTCGTGCAAACAATACGCGCATTCTGTATTCCAGACACATTCATTGTACTTCCTTAGTTGTCTTTTAGATTTCTCACCCTTTTGGTTCCTAATGTGTCTATTGTAGCACCCGCCTTCACAGTCCTGAATTGAATCTCATTTATTTGTCAGATACTATCACAGTATTTATTACTTATTTTCATTATTATAAGTAGTACACATCACACTTATTTGCCTTTTACATTCCTTCATATTTCCGAGTGAAACATAAAGCTTCAAGATGGAGCACTAGATTTTCAGTAGTGGTCACGCTATTTATTTCATAATTGAGTTTGTTATCCCTACGTCTTTATGAGGCTTATTACTATCTGAGCAAGCATTAAGAGTGTGTCAGTCAGGAATCGAACCCGGATCAACTGCGTGGTTGACCAGCATTCTATAATTAGTTAATTAATCAGAATTCAATTTTCTTCAACCAGGCTATGAACCGCGCTTACTGTCTAAAAACAGGTGATATTTCATAGTTACTTAGACTGCCACAGGTGAAGCAGGAGTTACACCCAATACCCATCAATTGAGAATTGACTGCTTAAGCCATCTGGCCCAAACTCTATGCATATTATGCAAATAGCATTGTCAGCCAACTCTCAGAAAATGTCAATGTCCAGCTCTTACTACGCTGGACCGCACGCTTTCCCTGGAAGACTTTCAGAAACAATTTGTATTAACCAACGCGAAAAACCAGAACACAGATTAGCGACTCGAGAATCCTTCATTCTTACACCAATATGTAACCAAGAATAAGGTTGTTATACACAAGGTCTAAGAATAAATGTTATAACAATAAGTCACGATAATACTTCTGATAGTTTTCTGTCTTCCATTGAACGGCGAACGATGAGACGATGACTGCTGGATTGATGAATCCCGCGAAAATTATGGAGGAGTTGGGTTTGAGCAAACAACCATGAATTGATCGTTCAATCTTCAACTACATTGACAAGCATACTGTTATTATTTTTTGATATTATCAAGTGTCAATATGCAAGGACTTGATTGATTTTAAGCTCGATCACAAATCAAGGTCATTTAGAGAATCAATGAAAACCAGTGTGTACTGGACAAGTGGTTCGTCTTAATGTGAGATCTATGACGCCACCATGGATATGACCTATGATCTTCAGGTTAAGAAGCCAGCCTGATCTAGAATGTCTATTTACCTTTCCGTATATCATCCTCACATTCTTCTTTGCCTTTAAACCTTGCATTTTTTCCACACACACACAAACTATTTAGGTTGTTCAATTACAAGAACTTTTTGAAGTTAGACATTCTGTATTTATTGTTGGCAATGCTGGAACGGGTAAATCACAAGTATGGAAAACACTTAAGCATACATTTAAACTGCAAAAACAGAAACCTGTCGCTATTGATTTAGACCCAAAAGCAGTAACAAATGATGAGTTATTCGGTGTTATCAATCCAGCAACACGTGAATGGAAAGATGGTAAGTGTTGGTTTTTGCCAGGATTTGATTGATTACAGGATCTCATCATGAGCTGACATTGGTTAGAGAATCTTTGAAAAACTTTGGGGCGTTGGACGACTATTTCGTCCGAGTTTGGGGCTCCTCATCAGTACCCCGACCCGTTCCAGTGGGATTCTAACCAGAGACTTTTCGGTACGTAGTTACCTGAGTTATAGTGGGAAGTCGTGGACAGCAAGGTACAGCAGGTCGGCTGTGACTACAAATACTCGCCACAGGTAACAATGGCTACTGGTAGCGCTATATCGTGAATTGGTAGAAGTTTGCTAATTAGATTGGGTCTCAGTGGCTGAATGGTTCACGAGTTCGTCTCGTGACCGGAAGGCTCTGTGGCCGAACCCATATGTTGGGTGCGTACTGATGAAGAGTCCCCAGGACTGGAACGAAACAGCTGTGCAGTACTCCCTGATGGTTTTTCAATGCTTCTCTAACCAATGTTACCTCACGATGAAATCCTGAAATATAAATTACATCAAAGACTTGAACACTCTTCTTCCAAGATGACAAAGAGTAATTGGTAGGAACTAAGAGTAACGCAAGTCCAAAATGATGTAAGTTGTTAAATAATTAAAAGCGAAAAGGACTGATTGTGTATAGAAAGATTAGATGACTACGCTTGGAAACAAAAGAAGAGAGTTCAACAGACTTTTGTAGGTAGAAACAAGGTTTACTTAGGAAAAGTATAACAAACAACAGGTTACGTAATCACAGAAAATATGTCTTTATAAAACGGGCAGAAAAGGGAGGGGGTAGGGTAAGTGAAGATTGGATGAGGGAATGGAATTTTCTAAACAGGAGAGAAGATGACGTAGTGTGATATTCACCACACACTCTCTCTCTTTCTTTCTGAGTCTACAGGTTTCTTTTCAATCGTTTAATGGTGACTGCCTCAGCAAAACTTAGCAAGCTAGGTTCTTTTTGTCTGTTAATTATTTTGAACACCATCAGATTGCCCACAACTTGGCCAGTGTTCAATAGATAGATGATTCGTGATCACAATGTTTCATGCCTGTAAGTTTGTATTGGTGTTATACAGACAAGCTGTTCTCACAGAATATTATTTTCATGTATTCCCACAGTTAAATACTGCATTGCATGGAGGATTTAATCATAGGCTGACATCAGTTAGAGAACCACTGGAAAACCTGGGAGTACTGGACAGCTGTTTCGTCCTAGTTTGAGACTCTTCAGCAGTACGCACCCACCGGGATTCGAACCCAGGACCTTCTGGTCCCAGTGGCTCAATGGTAGATATATATATATATATATATATATAAACAGAGGTTTGAATAATGAAAAATATACTTTGACTTCCGTGTCTTGCCTTCTATTGTTACAAGGATATTAGTCTCAGGTTCTTTGGTATGTGTTCAGATATGTGGACAATAACCCTTCCCTATGTTCTTTCAATGTATGCGCTGCAGAACGTTTACATGTAAATTGGTAGAGAAAGTTGGCGGTTACATGAAGTGGGAGTCTGTCCACTTTTGACTGTCTTAAACAACTAGTCGTTTGATAAACACATACAAGTTTGGTATGTGTATATATGTTGTTTACAGAGCAGCATTCAGTGTGCATGTTATTCCCCAAGAAGTATCATCACTTTTGAAGGGAAGCTGTAGACAAAATGCCGACTGTTTCTGTACTGTCTGTCTGTTTTCGACATAGAACTTTGCATATATGTGCACCAGTTTAAGTCGCCACACTCCCTCCTTGTAGTACACAAAGCAAGAGAAGAAAGTAGAAGAAATGCATATTAGAGACAGTAAACAGAGGTGTGAGACAAAGGAATAGTAATAACAAAGAACAATAGAGTTTTATTGGAAATTGTAGGTCACAAGGAGTGGATGCATCTACACCAGCCATTGAGAACGATTTTGAGCCATATCACCAATTGTCTCCAGCTGTCATAGATTTTTACCTTCCCGAGGACCCCAATCAGGAAGTCTACATCTCCCTACGTGACTGGCTGGCTTAAACTAACTGTTGTGGATTTCATTGACTGGTTCCATGTTTTTGTTTGGCCGCCGCTAGCTCTTTTCCAGCCTGACCCTATAACAGCTAACATTGCCCATTTTCGAGGAAGGCGATAACTAGGCTAGCATACCTAACACATGTCCTAACCATCTCAGTCGATGTAACTTCACAGCCTCGTCGATTGATTTCCCCTCCTTTCCTAGAACTTCACGCCTAACCTCAATATTGCTCATCTTATTATACCACTTAACACGGGAGACAGAGCGCAAGCACCTATGATGAAATACAGCTAATCTTTTCATGTCCTCTATTCTCCATGGCCAGGTCTCACAGCCATAAAGGAGGACTCTGCTGTACTGTGCTATCATTCATTTTGTCATCGCTACACTTTCATTTTTTTTCGACGAATTTCTGTGGGTAGCCACTATCATCCAGGCGTTTTTCCACAATGGAAAGTTCTTCCTCAACTGTTTCTTCTAAGCAAAGATTTCTTACACGATCAAACAATGTTCTTATCAATCCTTTTTTGTAGTTTATACGGCAGAAGACTTTGAAGTTCAGATAAATCAACCACCCTCCACCAACACCCAGATCACTTTTCTGTTGATATACCTCAAGATTTTACCATCTGTATCATGTTAGTTATCAAGGTCGGGAAAAATGAAATTCGTCGTTACATTAACACTCTAGTGTAAAACTTTATATTAGGTTGAACACTATTCAGGACGCTTAATATTTGAAATGTTTCATTGAAACAGTCACAAATGACGAACATGTCATCGACATACGTGTTGTTAAAGTCTGTCTGACAGATTGTAGAAGTCTGTCAATTGCCCAATCAAATCTAGTTAGTATTATAAATTCTACTGTTTTTGATCGGCATATACTTTTGTTTGTTCTTTTTCTACATTTATTCTACCATAACAGGTTTATTTTCTGTTATAATGAGAGATTTAGCCAATATGACAGGGAAAGATCCAAAATGGATTGTACTTGACGGAGATATTGATCCAATGTGGATTGAATCATTGAATACTGTTATGGATGATAATAAGGTGTTAACATTAGCCAGTAATGAGCGTATCCCGTTAACGGATAGTATGAGATTACTATTTGAAATTAGTCATTTGAAGACAGCTACACCAGCGACTGTATCACGTGCTGGTATCCTATACATTAATCCAGGAGATTTAGGCTGGACACCGTAAGTTTATTATTATTATCATCATTTTTTGGTGCAATTTTCAAACTAACTACCATACACATTATTTAAACTTATTATTATTTCCTTTGATTCCTAGAGGGACATATGGCTTCAGCCACGCGTCCCTATTGCGTTCGGTTCTCTGCTAGAGTTTTCACCTAGCTCCAAGTTTGCCCACATGCTTTCATCTCCTCTCCACATGACCTCTCCCAAGTCACCCTTGCAATGACAACAGACTCGCCGCTTCCCTTTCGAGTTCCACTCGATTCCAAGCTCTGTTCAATTGTGATACGTAGTGTGGCGATTTGATCAATACATGACTTGTTCCCATGAATCCAGCCTGTTCTGGCCGAAGTTTTCATCGAGGGCTTGTTTGATTCTCTCCAGGATGATGCGGCTCAGGATTTTGATTAGGATGGACAGGAGGATAATTCCGCGCCAGTTCTTGTATTGCCTTAAGTCTCCTTTCTTTGCCACTTTGAATAAGTATCCTTTCTTCCAATCCGCACTTACCTTGCCCCCCTTCCACACCTTCTCCAGTAGGGGTGTCATCAAGTCCGCTGTTGTTTCTGGGTCCGTTTTCAATGCTTTTGCTGAGATTCCATCTGTTCCCGCTGCTTTTCCAGCTTTTAACATCGTGATTACCTTCAGGATTTTTGTTCTCGTCAGGATGTTGATGTCCACTGGTAGTTCTGCTTCCGTTGTTGGTATTGTTGGGCGCGTTGTAGGTGGCGGTCGATTTAGAAGTCTTTTGAAGTGTTCAGCTCAGTGTTTCCTCTGCTCCACTTCTTTGGTGATTGACTTTACATTGGCATCCTATACTGGCTTAATTTGTGTCGAACTTTTGTCCGAAAGGTATCTAGCCGCATGCCCAACCTTTCTGATTTAGCGAGGTAAAGGAGTGCATCTGTTGCCAGGGTTCGAACTTCGGACCATGTGCATGCTTGGCGTGTCTTCAGACACGTTGATTAATTTGTGCGTGTGCTTTAGATCATTTCTTTTAATTAATACGAATGTGTAATCAACAATACGTACCCAGATTTTTGGCTTAATTTCGCTCACTTTATCTGCCTAATATTCGTCTACATCTATTAAGCATTCTGTAACTGAACACTTTAAAAGATTGGTATAAACATAAAACTCATGTATATAAATGAAGCAAGAAAGTTATGCGATCGCCTTGACACGATTATGAGCGGTGATAAATTGTGCTTGAAACGCCGTCATCAGTAAATAATACTGTCATAGCATTGTATGATTTTATGAAAATAAAATTTACCCCAAAATGGGACTTTAAAAGATAGACCATCGAATTTTATGTGTCCAAATTAAGTTCACTTTTAACAGTTTGAAAAAATTTGGGCATTCGAGTACATGATGTTCATTATAGTAAAGGTTTTCCTTGTATTTACCAGTGAATGAGTGAAAAACAAAACGATATGGTTGTTTTCACTGACGTTTCGTTATTTAATATTGCTGCTAATAGCTTTATCAAAGTAGTATTAATAAACCAGAATTTATAAAATCCAATCAGCTTATATATGCTATGTGAAGTCCGTTAGGCCCCTTTTAGCAGATATTTATATGTCGTATATTGAGAATTGATCGGAGGATTTAATCGAAAATGTGCCACTTTATAGAAGGTAGGTAGATGATATTGTAATCATCAGCGATAAGTCTTGTTCTGCCACCTCAATTTTAAATCGAATGAATGAAGTTCAGAATAGCATATCACTTACATCTGTAGAAGAAGAAGATAATTGTTTATCTTTCCTAGACATATTGCTTAGTCGACGGCTTGATGGGTCAATAAAAAAGATCTATTTATAGAAAACCTACCTGGACAGGACAGTATCTTAATTACCACAGTTTCTGCCCTATTCGGTACAAAAGAGGCTTAGTAAGGTGCCTCTTCAGTAGAATCCAACGAATATGCACTGAAGACACACTTGATGAAGAAGAAAGAAAGTTGACTCAAACTCTGGTTGATAACAATTATCCAGACAAGTTCATCAGAAGATATAAAGTAGTCAGAACACTAAGACCCACTCTCCAACTCGCCCCTAAGAAAGACGTGTACATCAAGCTACCCTATATGGGGCATCAAAGCAGCTTGATAACTAGACAAAGACTGAACGCTGCTGTTAAAAAGACTTTTTATGCAGCTAATATCATAATAATTGAGAATGTGAAGCCAATACATCTGTCTAAGCCCTTCGAACATGCAAAAATCGACGTCACATCCCACTGTATTTACCAGTTTGAATGTACGTGTGGACACACATATATAGGGAGGACTCATCGATCTCTGCAAGTAAGGGCTTCAGAGCATATTTCTAAATGGGTCCAGAAATAAATGGAATCTTCAGAACCCATTAATGGTGAGAACAGGAGACCTGGCTCCTCTACTGCGAAACATATTCTAGAGACAGGACATAAAATCGATGTTAACAGATCTTTTAAACCTATCTAAAAAACGTGTTTGGGGCGTATCCTAAAGTTTGTGGAAGCCCTAGCTAGCAATTAGAAAGTTCAAGCCACCTTTATGTAATCAAAAACAATTCGTCATCACATTAAACCTTCCTTGGTAAATTTTGTTTTGATACCATAGCAGATGTACTATTACCTCTGCTATTTGGTTTATTGGTCTTCATTGTTATTTTGACTTTGAATATGTCCTTTCAACTTGCCCTAACTCGTCTATTTTCTCACCTCTTAACTCTTTATTAATTTGATATATATTCCTATTTTCAAGTAGTGGTTTTTGTAGGGATTTTGTTTGATTGCATGGAGGATTTAATCATGAGCTGACATCAGTTCCTATGACAAGTCCATGTGTGATCAGATTGTTTGAAATGTGTTGTGCAAATACATTACACGATTCAGACAAATAACGTTTTCTTATTGCTTTACCTAAATTCAGAAAGGGAACTAATTGTTTTAAACTTAATCATCGTTCCTCAGCATGGGGTCATTTTTGCATTGTCAAATTGGTCGATTGTTGAATACAGCAAAATCAAGTCGAGATTGTTGGATTTGAAAATTGTGTCAAATTATAAAAGCAGCGTGTGTTTACATAATGAAATTGCTTATCACATTCGTGTTGATTTCGTCATTTCACGAGGGGAGGGGATGTTGTTTCTATTTCACTCCATCATTCCTATTCAGATAATTTAGATTTCATTTGATGTGAAATGCTTTTGATGATATGAGACGTTCTTTGTGATTTTTGAAATTTTTCTGAATGATCTCAGTAACATCATATTAAGTGTTACATTGTAACAACAGAAGACAAGGGCCGGCAACAGATCATTTTATTACGGAAATCAGCACGTATTTATATGTATTTCATGTACATTATTATAGTATATTTAAGTAGACAAACGCAGTCTTCTGATTGGTTGTTTTCGAGTTTCTCGGAAAGTGGAGCCATCTATCTGCGAATCGTATTTGCCCACGTTTAAGTCTGCTGTGATTGGTTGTTGAATCAGCCTTGTTCATATTTTCTCACGGCCAATATTAGGAACCTAGAAATTGACGCAGATTGATGTCTACCGGTTGGCTAGCAGCCTACTCTCACCACAACATTGTGTATGTCCAAACCAAGTTTACTTTCAACAGTTTGAAAAAAACTGGGCATTTGAGTATATAATATGAATAAAAACCAAAATCGTTTTGTTTTTCACTCATTGAATGGGAAATACAAAAAGAAACCCTTATTATGATGGATTGACCATCAAAGTTATTTTTGCATTCCTGTACGTTCCAAGTGGAACATAGGTCCTTTCAAGCTTGAGCTCTGAAGCTTTAGAAGTAGTGTTTTTTCTTACGGTATGGGATTGCTAGCCTCACACCCAACTCCCCCTCTTTGTCTGGATGACAACTGGCTAGAGGGTGGGGGGTTAAAGATGGGCGCCCTCCAGGAATTGCACCCCAGACCACGTGCCTGGTTGGCCACCATTCTACCACCGAACCGCCGACTCATATCAACTGAAATTTAACGAAGGTAACATGTATCCTCTTTGACATTTGTTCTTTCTCCTCTCTTCCCCCCCCACGTGTTACTTCTTTCTTACAGATTTGTACACAGTTGGTTAGATGATCGAGTGAAAATGAAGAAAACTCTATCGATTAGTGAAAGACCTGCACTGTCAATCTGTTTTGACAAGTATGTTTCACCATGCCTTGAAATTGTTCGTTATCGAATGAAACGTATTACACCGATACCTGATTTAGCTCATATTCAAATGTTATGCTATCTACTTGAATGTATATTGGACATACAAAGTAAATCAAAAGATACACGTGAATTTACTAAAGAAAATTATGAAATGTTATTTGTCTTCTGTTGTGTTTGGTCATTTGGTGGATGTTTATTTAAAGATCAATTGTGTGATTATCGTGTTGAATTTTCAAAATGGTGGCTGAATGAATTTAAACAAGTGAAATTTCCATCCGGTGGTACTATATTCGACTTTTTTTGGAGTTTAACAACACGAAAATTTGAAAGTTGGTCAACACGTTTAACAAAATGTGAACTAGATCCTGATATACCATTACAAGTAAGTGTCAGAAAGGTGTTTATTCTCAGGCTTGACGGAGTTGTTTGCCCATCCAGATGTTGTTAACTTGAACAAGGATATTCACATGAGATTTCTGGTGAATTAAATTCAAAATAATAAAGTGAATTGCAAGGGAAAATATTTGTGATTGTAATCATAGTTAAATATCAAGAAATATAGTAGGTTATTCAAGTATTGGTTTGTAGGGATTTGGTTGATTGGTTACAGGATTTCATCATGAGCTGAGATTGGTTAGAGAGCCATTGGAAAACCAGCTAGGAGTACTGGACAACTGTTTCGTCCTAGTTTAAGACTCTTCATTAGTACGCACCCACCGGGATTCGAACCAAGGACCTCCTAGTTACAAGGCAGGGGATCTCGTAGATCATTAAACCACTGGGACCTGATCCAATGGCCAGTCCATGAATTCTAACTTCTACCAATTCACGATATAGCGCAACCCCTAGCCACTGTCATCCGTGGCGAGTATTTGTCCTCACACCTGACCTTCTGCACCCTACTGGTCACGACTTCCCACTGGAACCCCAGGTAACTACCTACCTGAATAGGACCAGTCACTAGTGAGCATCTCATTGGTAATCAAGTATTCGTGAATTGGCAGAAGTTAGAATTCATGGGCCATTGAATTGTGTCCCAGTGGCTTAATGGTCTACGAGCTAACTCGCCTTGTAACCAGAAGGTCCTGGGTTTGAACCCAGTTGTGGCGCGTGCGTACTGTTGAAGAGTCCCAAACTAGGACGGAGGGAACAGCTGTCCAGTACTGCCTGCAGGTTTTCCAATGGTTCTCTAACTAACGTCAGCTCATGATGAAATCCAGTAACCAAGTACAGTAGGTTATTTGATTTATGAAATAGCTCATAGAATGTGTAATTTTAACTGAGGGCAGTAGGATAAACGAGGTTTCTAGGCAATCAAAACATTTATATTAAATGATTAGAGGTGATCGGCAGGAAGCTTTGGACCTAGGAAGGGTGCTTGCTGACACTCACTAATCAGCATTGCGTATCTGCAACCTCGAAGGAACTCGTGTGCCTTCGCAGATTTGAACCCGTATCACCCAGTGAGTACTGCAATCAAAGACGTTGCTGCTGAGCTATTTATGCTGATCAATGATCTCCATAATACTGGATACTAGTTGGCAGCAAGTGTAATGTCTCTAGTCCTGTGTTTGGTGCAGACTGAATTGTATAGTCAGTCAAGTTTGCAATGTCACCGTCATTCTAGACTCCCCAACATTACAATGGACTCTGAATTATCGATATTAGATAGTTGAAGGCAATCGACAGGGAGCTTTGGACCTAGGTTTCATACCGATGTTAAAACTGGAATCACAAAGGCAAGACAAGCACCTTCATCGCTCTTCTGCACTCAGCAAGAAAAACTAAAATCGGATTTTCAACAGGAATACCAAGTCATTTACTTCTTTGTTACGGATCAGAAACTTGCACTACACGTCACGAAAAGCATTTTGAACTGACCAGTTCAGACTTTTACTAACAACCGCCTTCGGTGTCTCCATGCTGAAGATCAAATGGCCAGAAAGGATTAGCGACAAAAAAAGCTCTGTCAACAAACCAACGAAGAGACGACTACTGAACAAATATGTAGGAGAAAATGGAGACGGATTGATGGGGCATACGTTGAGGAGGCCATCGAGTGACATCATGCCCAATACAGACCTTCGCTTGAGGGGAATGCCAATAGAAAGCCACGAGTGGGTGGTCGGTGCGAGCGAGGGGTGACATGGAGGAGAAGGTGAGAGATTATGGATAATTATGGGATAATTTTCAAGTATTGGCTTTATATGGATTTTTTGATTCCATGGAAGATTTCATCATGAGCTGACATCAGTTTGAGAACCACTGGAAAGCCTGGGAGTACTGGGCAGCTGTTTCGTCCTAGTTTGGGACTCTTCATCAGTACGTACCCACCGAGATTGGAGGCCAGGACCTTTTGGTTACAGGGCGAGCTCATAAACCATTGAGCTACTGGGGCCTGATCCAATGAATCTTGAATTCTAACTTCTGCAGATTCAGGACATAGCGCGACCATTTCGCTGTCTTCTTCAATGAGGTACTGCCTCATCTTCGACCTGCTGTACCCTATGGTCACAGCTTCCCATTAGAACCCCAAGTTAACTGCCTGAATAGAGCCAGTTGCTAGTGAGCATCAGATTAGTTTTCAAGTATTGGTTTTGTAGGGATTTTGTTTAATTGCATAGAGGATTTCAGCTGCCCAGTACTCCCAGTTGGTTTTCCAGTGGTTCTCTAACTGATGTCAGCTGACGATGAAATCCTCCATGCAATTATGAGATAAACTAAAGAGAACAGCAGAGAATAGAACAAAGTGGAGATTTGTTATTGAAGCCGTATGTTCCACTCGGAACCCGAGGGAATAATAATATTATTCCTAGAACGTTAGTTATTTTAGTCAGTGGTGCCTTATCACTGTTATTAAGGATTTCTAGAGTGGTTGATCTACAGTAGGGACCTTTTAAAAAAAGGGAGGATTGCAATAACAACATAATACCCAGACTAAACTGTTAATGATTGATAGTTGGCTGGAGTTAATCTAGAGGAAATTGATATTTCCAGTACTTCAAAAAGAGAACTCTAAATTTGCGGGAACAGATGTTTACACAAACCTGTTGTTGAGTGGTACTCAAGTTTATAATAAACAACAATATAAGGTGGTCAAATAGCTTATGGAACGAGGTATACTTGAATGACGCATAAATAGTTAAAAGCACACAAAGCTCAGTTGTAATAAGGCTAAGACGATAGATAATCTGTGTGGTAGCTAATTGTTTGAGGTTTGATTTGATCGTTTTACTGCTAAAGTCTCTTAAGATCACCATGATTTGTTTAATTAACCTCAAGTTGTGATAAAATTTATTAATTAAATAAACACGTTACGTACTTCTTTTTTTCTACTAAAGGCTGCTTTAGTTCCCACAGTGGAAGTTGTTCGATTACGTTTCTTCTTAGATCTACTCATTGAAGCTGGACATCCTGTTATGTTGGTTGGTTCAGCTGGAACTGGGAAATCTGTTATCCTACAGGATAAATTTTCAAGTTTATCTGAAGAATATCTTGTGAAGAGTATACCATTCAATTTTTATACAACAAGTTTAATGTTACAAGAAGTGTTGGATAAAAGTTTAGAGAAAAAAGCTGGTATGAATTATGGTCCACCAGGACAGCATAGACTCCTCTATTTCATTGATGATTTAAATATGCCAGAGGTGAGTGCTCTTCTCAGTGTCAGTACTTTTTTGAGGGGTATTGAATGTTAATGTAAATTACACACAGTAGATTGTAAGAAGACAGAAAACAAAATACTTGGAAATGTAGTCACAAGATACGTATAGCTCATGAATGTTGGTAGACAGGAATTCAAGGAACAATCTTTGTGATAAACTGTCTTAGATGCCTAGGAATGTGACTACAGACATCTCATTGAAGTTAAGAACAACTATATACGTTTTATTTGTTATCCGGTCATCTAGTTCCCTCAATGTTATGTGGTTGATTCTGACTAACAGTGACATCTAGACCGTATGATTTATTCGATTAGGAACCCACCATATTAACCTAAATGCATTTTTGACAAGTGGATGGCGTTGCTATTGGCAGTCCATTAGGACCTTTGTTAGCAGACGTTTACATGTCTTATGTTGAGAAATTGTCTCTTGATTTAATTTCAAAATTCCCCCTCTATAAGAGATGATATCATTTTGATATGTGACGATCATGAAGATGCGAGTCATCTATTAGACAGACTTAACTCTATACAGAATCATATTAGTCTTACATGCGAGGAAAAAAATGTCGCAACCAGCTTGCATTTTTAGATGTACTTCTGAGTCTAAGAGATGACGGTTCAATAAGGCGATCAATCTACAGAAAGCCGACTTGGACTGGGCAGTACCTTAATTTTCACAGTTTCTGTCCATTACAGTATAAGAGAGGCTTGATGAAATGTCTATTCGAGAGGAATCAACGTATTTGTGCGGCTGATGTTATATACAAAGAAAACGAAATATTGATGGATACTCTTGTTGAAAACGGATATCCTTTGAAAATTTTAAACAGGTGCAGAAGTCAATTATTCTCTTAACCTACAAACTATACTGCACCTAAGAAAAATGTTTTCATTAAATTACCATATAACGGGGAAATAAACAGTAGGATTTCGCGAGAAAGGTTGAATTCGATCATCCGTGGAACCTACTACTAATTGTGGAAAAAGCTAAAAATATGCTTCACTGTAAACCCCAAAAGTGAACAAGTGATTATATCACATCCCATACAATTTACCAATTTTCGTGTGTGTGTGGACATACATACATAGGGAGGATTAATCGCGCTTTGCACGTGAGGGTGGGAGAGCATATCCCAAAATAGATGCAGGTGTCAGTCAGATTACCAACTTCGTCTATAGCTAAACATCTAATCGAGATGAACCATAAGATTGATGTTAACTCAGCCTTTATGGTCATCTATAAAAACGGTCACGGGGCGCTTACTGAAATACATTGAGGCTATAGCTATTCATAAACTTAAGCATCCCCCACCCCGGGTGTGCATAAGCAGTTTATTATTACTAAAAACCTACCTTGGTAATGCTTATTTAATTGGATTACCAAATGTTGTGTTAATCATTTAAAACTCTTTTAGGTTACTTTGTTTAATTTAACTTTTTCATTTATATCTACTTGACAAGTAAATGTGTGAGTAGATTGTTCAAAATGTATAGCGCGAATACATCACATTGTTTTTCAGAAAATCTCCGTCTTCTAATAACGCTATCCAAATTTATAAAAAGGACTAATTGTTTTAAATGCATTGTCAAAACATCTTTATTAGGAGGTCATATGTTAACAGACACTGAATGTTTCTGAAAGATAGTTTCAATAAAAGCCAGTGAAAACAGTTATACAAGAACTGGTTCTCATAACCAACTGATCTAGTAGATAATGGTTTGGCATTTCAAATAATGTCTGTTGGGTTTAAGACTTAGTGGATTAACCATTAATTATTCCCCAGGAATGATGGATGTGTATCCAGTTGATGAGATTCAAATAGAATGAAACAGGCATTATTGGGTCCCACCGCTAGTCACCATCGAACAGAACGGAACTGCTTAAACAGGCTAATGAAAAATCTGATTCTACATATCATTAGTTCTTCTACTATAATTCAGCTCTCCGAGTTGATTCACCAAGGGGACATCACTGGTCCCAAGCTTACTTCCAAACGAGTGAAATGACTGTTTCGGTGTATAAATCCTTTTGGTCAGGTTGACTTAAATGGTTGTCAACTACTGATATCAGTAGTCAGTAGTATATGTCAGGGTGCATAAAGTTGGTATATTATTGTTAAAATATTAAAAATGTGCTATCCGAGCATTGAAACTAACTGAAGTTATGAAGCGTACTGTAACGATGAAAACCAATGCGTTGTGAGATTTCATTATGAGCTGACATTGGTTAGAGAACCACTGGAAAACCTGCAGGGAATACTGGACAGCTGTTTCGTCCTAGTTTAGGACTCTTCAGCAGTACGCACCCACCGGGATTCAAGCGTAGGACCTTCTGTTTACAAGGCGAGCTCGTAGACCACTAAGCCACTGGGACCCGATTCAATGGCCCGTCCATGAATTCTAACTTCTACCAATTCACGACATAGCGTGACCCCTAGACAATGTCTCCGGCGAGTATTTCTTCTCACACCCGACCTTCTGCACCCTACTGGTCACGATTTCTCACTAGAACCCCAGGTAACTACTTACCTGAATAGGGCAAGTCGCTAGTGAGCATCTCATTGATATTCACTTGAATATCAATGCGTTGTGGCTGAAACGCGTCCTACTGTATAGGTGTAGGAAACTTCCCGGAGAGACGCACAGCCACAAAATACTCCAAAACAGATAGGTCTATGTGGTTCGTTTAAAAAATAACAACATCAAAGAGCAAAAATTATATCAACGGTGCGTCAGACAGCTGAAGAGGCTAGATAAGTTTCTAGTCAGAAACAACTACTGTAGAACAAAATTAGTTAGCGAAAATTCAGTTATAAGAAATACTCCAAAATCTACTAGAATATTCCTAACAAGGTGGGACTGAAAATGCTGTCCACTACAAGACTCACACACCAACAATTCTTGTCTCACACAAAAGTCCAAGGTCAGAATGACCTTCAATCATTCACTCAAATCAAATCACGTCGTCATAAAACAACGCATTATCAGGGTAAGACACAACCACAGAGAGAGAGAGAGAAGAATGAAAATTAGAGATTTAACCGGTAGGGACAAAGACAAATAATAGGGATGATGTGCGAATGTCAGAACATTGATTTACAGTCTAGGAGGAGAATGCGTCAAAATTACAAATTACAAAGTTGGATGGATGGACGATTTTATCATGAGCTGACTAGAACGAAATGGATGGCTGTCCAGTACTCCATGCAGGTTTTCCAATAGTTCTCTAACTGACGTCAATTCATGATGAAATCCTACATCAAATTAAACAAAATTCCTACAAAACCAATAATTAAAAATTACAAAGTTGTTTAGAAAACATCCAAATAATTATATAAAGATTGTAATTACATCGTTGAGGAAGGATTTTTTAAACAATTATCTCGTTACATTTATCGTCTAATTGGTTACTTATTATTAATATTATGCCGGGAATAATGTCTCTGAAATATACATTTAATCTAGTGAGTAGTTAATTTGAACATTTATAGATGTGGCTTCGACTGGAACAAGCTGGATTCAGGAGAAACAAGTCATGAATCGATCAAATCGCCACACTACAGATCATCACTGAACAAAGCTTGGAATGGTAGTCAGCTGTCTACCTCACTCAACTTCATCGGCTTTGAAAAGGCCTTCAGCAGACAGCGTCGATCGAGAGGCGATTCGGCAGCTACTTTGTTACTACGTGGTGCTGCAAACAATTATTCACCTCATCCAACAGTTGTACGACAGTGTTGCATGCCTAAGTAATCCATAGCGAGAAACTCACAGAATCCTTCGTAGAAGTGAAGACGGGAGTGAGACAAGCTGGGTGTCCACTACTTTTTCCAATGATTTTTCTGATTGCGGTAAACCGGATAGTACGACGGTCAGCGACGGCAACGAGAAGGCAGGCGTAAATTGGACCCACACAAAAACCTGGAGGATCTGTACTTCGCCTATAATATATGTCTGATTTCCCACAAATTGGAAGATATTCAAGTGAAAAACAACAAGGTGGTAGAAGAAGCATCAAAGATAGTACTTCAAGTGAACATGGATAAAACAGAGGTGATGAAGATTCCTGGCCAACACCAACAGCAACAACGACAACAGACAACAATCAGCCAGCATAAATGGGAGGAACCTGAAAGAAACAACCTTCTTTACCTACGTACCTACCTGGGAAGCATCGTTTCAACTACAGACGGACACAACTCACGAGGATATCAAAACAAGAATCGGAAAAGCAAGACAAGCTTTCACTACCCTTAAGTCTGTGTGGAGGAGGTCAACAGCACTCAGAATCAAAAATAAGATCCGGATTTTCAACTCCAATGTGAAGTCAGTCAGTGCTACTCACTATACGGATCAGAGACTTGGCGGGTCATAAATAGCATCTCAAACAAACTTCAAACCTTCATTAACAGTTCTCTTCGCTCAATACTACTCAAGATCAGATGGCTGGCCAGAAAAGATCAACAACAGGGATCTCTGGCAATGAGCGAACCAACCATGAACCGATTGTGAAACATATATGCAGGAAGAGAAGGAGATGGATTGGCCATAGTCTGAGGAAACGATCAAGGACATCACTAGACAAGCCATTGCTCGAGTGGAACCTGAAAGGGAAGCGGCCAGTTGCTTGTCGGTGTGAGGGTGACTTGGAGGAGGTGATGTGAAGAGGAGATGAAAGCATGTGGGCAGACTTGGAGCGGGGTGAAAACGTTGGCAGAGAACCGAACGCAATGGAGACTCGCGGCTGAAGCCCTATGTTCCTCTAGGAATTAAGGGATATGATAATGATAAATGTGGATTTATTTTGCTGGGAAAGCATATCTGCGATTCACTTACCGTATACGAAGACAGACATCTCTTGCTAATCATTTAAGTATGATCTCTAACCCATATAGAAAGACTGAATGACTTAACACCAGTGTTGGAAATCCGGATTTTGTTGTTTATGCTCTAGAGGAGTGCAAAAGATTTCCAAACTGATTTCACAATGATAAAGGTGTGCACTAACTTTCTGATCCTGAATGGTTTCGATATTCTTATCCTCTCTGTTGCCTGTAGTTGAAATGATGCTTCGTAGCCGGATAAGCGAAGGATATGACCTCTTAGAAAATTTTCCCCCTGTGACTAGGATTATTGCTTCTTGTTTGGTTGGTTGGTTGTCTTCATCACCTCTGTCTCCTCCACTTCCAATTGGAAGTCTTTGTTTTAGCTGGCTGTTTCTACTGCCAGTTTATTGATTTCCTCTGGTAAGTCTTTGGATTTATGTGACATCAGACAGAAATTATCGGCTTCGAAGTTCAGATCTTCTATAGTCTTCTTATCGATCCAGCGTATTCTTGTATTTTCGCTCCCCAGCATACAGTGTCCCGGATAATTCAGTCGACCACAGGTAGGAATATCATGAGTGATAGTAGTCTGACAGCCGTGTCTTACTCCTGTTTTCACTTCAAAGGATTTACTGAATTTTCCATTGTGGATCATTTGATATGTGGTACTATCATATAGCTGTATATATGGGGTACATACACTAGTCTTGCGTTGTATTGTACAGAACGTAAAGAGGGGTGTAATGAATACCCATATGTAATCATTTTTATTTTCAAGTGCTATTTTCGGGAATTTGATTTGTTCCATACTAGATCATAAACTCACATTGTAACACCAGAAGACAAGGGCCAGGCAACAGATCATTTATTAAGGAAATCAACAGATATTTATAGATTTTCATGTACATTATTTGGGATTATTGTAAGCAAACAAACACAGTCTTCTGATTGGTGGTTTCTCGCTGAACGTTAATCTCTGATCTCTTTGTGGAGATTTATTGAAGTTCAGATAATTGATCTGCAAATTGTACCCGCCTACTCAAAGTCTGCTGTGATGATTGGTTGTTGAATCTGTCTTTGTTCTTAATTTTTTCACGACCAATATTGGGGACGTAAACTTTGACGCAAATTATTGTCTACCAATTTGGCTAGCATCCAGCTCTCACCACAATATCAGTTAGTAAGCCGTTGAAAATTAAGGAGTACTGAACAATTGTCCTAATCTACATTGAGACTCTTCAGCAGTCCATCAGTTAATCATTTAGGTGTGAGAACAAATATTTTCTGATGACATTAACTGATGGGTCATTGGATTCTGTCCTAGTAACTAAATAGTCAAGATGGTCGTCTCCTAAACTAAAGGTCTTGAATGGGTAGTGCTGTTGAAGAGTCCACAACATAGGTGAAGCAGCTGCCGAGTATTTTTGATTGGACACTAAGCAGTAACTAGTGTAGTGTGTAATGTCTAGTCCTGTTTTTGGTCAAGTCTGTAATGTAGCCACCATGCTAGGTGCACTGTGTGATTTGTTGGTATTAGATGGATGGAGGCAATTGGCAGGAAGCCTCGACTGACCTAGGTTTTGTGCTAGATGCCACTCACTGGTCAGCAAGGCGTATCTTGAAGGAACTCATGTCTCTCAGTCTGAGATTCGAGCCCGCATCAGCCAGTGCTTCGGTCAGGAACGTTACCACTGAGTTATTCAGGCTTCCTGACTGCAGCACTGGGTGATGCCGGTTTGAATCTTAGATGCAGGGACATGAGTTCCTTCAAGATGGTTGTCGATACGCCTTGATGGTTGGTGAGTGTCATCTAGTACGAAACCTAGGTTGGTCGAGGCTTCCTGTTGATTGTCTCCAACCATCTTATATCAGCTGGCAAATTCTCCTTGGTTTCTAGTAATCCTCTAATCAATGTCAGCTTGTCATTCAACTTGAAATCCTTTTTTAACTGATTAAAAATGCCCATTAAAATTTTCAAAAGAATGAATACTGAACAAAAATACTCTTTTCGATAACGCCTTCAACATCAGGCTCTACAGTTATATATCCATCCATTATAGTGAATGAATGAATTAGCGTTATAAACAACATTAATGCTGCTGTTTAAATAACGTCGAATCAATAATATCAGTAGATTACAGCTCAATAGCATCAACATAAAAGAAGCTGAATGTCAGAAAATTCATGAATTTATAGTCTCTACTGAAAGCCAAGGCTGTAGTAGGGGCTGGACTTGCTTCTTTCGAACACAGAGCACTGGTTGTTTGAGGCGAATTGCAATGACCTCTGCTGTTTGGAGCATGCAATGCTTCGATGATGATTTTGGCAATTTATTAGGTACCCGTTAGATAATGATAGAGATGGATTATTCCACGCTGGCTGGTTGTGTGGTCGATTTGCACTAGATGGTCCAATATTGAACTGTTAATGGTTTTCACTACACCTTTACTTAGCCATAGTGGGTGATGTTCTGGACCGAGCACGAAAAATCAAGTACTTGGATTAACGACCAATATAACTCACCCCAGCACAGGCGCAGTTGAATTGGTGGATACAATTTGAAGTCACTAGCTAGTCTAGGTACTTCCTCTTTCAGTCGAGGTAGTACCATCGATCGTGTAGAGAATAAGACGTGTAGTTCTCCAGCATTAAAAGTTCTTTGAACTGGTTTTCTTAATTTCCTCGTAATTATCTCACTTGGTATAATTATCATATCCCTTAATTCCTAGAGGAACATAGGGCTTCAGCCGCGAGTCTCCATTGCGTTCGGTTCTCTGCCAACGTTTTCACCCCGCTCCAAGTCTGCCCACATGCTTTCGTCTCCTCTTCACATCACCTCCTCCAAGTCACCCTCACACCGACAAGCAACTGGCCGCTTCCCTTTCGGGTTCCACTCGAGCAATGGCTTGTCTAGTGATGTCACTTGATCGTTTCCTCAGACTATGGCCAATCCATCTCCTTCTCTTCCTGCATATATGTTTCACAATCGGTTCATGGTTGGTTCGCTCATTGCCAGAGATCCCTGTTGTTGATCTTTTCTGGCCAGCCATCTGATCTTGAGTAGTATTGAGCGAAGAGAACTGTTAATGAAGGTTTGAAGTTTGTTTGAGATGATATTTATGACCCGCCAAGTCTCTGATCCGTACAGTGAGTAGCACTGACTGACTTCACATTGGAGTTGAAAATCCGGATCTTATTTTTGATTCTGAGTGCTGTTGACCTCCTCCACACAGACTTAAGGGTAGTGAAAGCTTGTCTTGCTTCTCCGATTCTTGTTTTGATATCCTCGTGAGTTGTGTCCGTGTGTAGTTGAAACGATGCTTCCCAGGTAGGTACGTAGGTAAAGAAGGTTGTTTCTTTCAGGTTCCTCCCATTTACGCTGGCTGATTGTTGTCTGTTGTCGTTGTTGCTGCTGTTGGTGTTGGCCAGGAATCTTCATCACCTCTGTTTTATCCATGTTCACTTGAAGGCCAATATTCTCTGCATGCTTCTTCTGCCAACTTGTATATCGCCCATGAATTGTAGTCGTATATAAAGTTGCTTTTTGTTTACAGGTAGTGAGTAGTCCTTTTCCGCTTTCTTCGCTATGTATTTCTTGATGATGATGATGATGATAATGAGGTTATCTTTGTTCAGTATACATTCTTTTGAAAAATGCTTTTTTATTATTTTTGTGAAGGTGAGACAGTAGCAACCACACTTTTTTTTCTTAAAAAAATACTTTTTGTGTTCATATACCTTTAGGTTGATCAATATTTCACAGTTCAACCACATACACTTATTCGTCAACATATAGATCATAAACATTTTTATGATAGACAAAAGTTAACCCTAAAAAAAGTGAGTAAAACTCAATATGTAGCTGCTATGAATCCAACAGCTGGTAGTTTTACAATCACATCACGACTGCAGCGTCATTTTTCAGTATTTGCTCTAAGTTTTCCTGATGAGAATGCTGTGAAAACAATCTATTCAACGATATTAAAGCAACATTATATACGGAATAGTTTTCCATCCGCAGTAATACGTGCAGTTGATAGTCTAGTTGAAGCCTGTATGATTGCACATGATAAAATATCAGCTGTATTCTTGCCAACAGCTATTCGTTTTCATTATTTATTTAATTTACGTGATTTAACGAATATATTTCAGGTAAGTGTGAAAATATATATTTTTAAAAAAAATGAAGATTATTGTTAAAAATTTTCAAGTATTGCTTTTTGTAGGGATTTTTTTTGATTGCATGGTGGGTTTTTATCATGAGCTGACATCGGTTAGAGAACCGTTGGAAAATCTGGAAGTTCTGGACAGCTGTTTTGTCCTAGTTTGGGACTCCTCATCAGTACGCACCCATCAGTTCGAACCCAGGAACTTCTGGTTACAAGGCGACCTAGTAGACCAATTGGTCTGGTCCTGAGTCAATGCTGAAGAGTCCCAAACTAGGACGAAACAGCTGTCCAGTACTCTCAGCTTGTTTTCCAGTGGTTCTCTAACTGATGTCAGCTCATGATGAAATCCTCCATGTAGTGTTAAAAACTTAACTCCTGAAATTTCCCAATAATAGCTTTCCATGAGTGTTCTGATTGGTGTTGTACTGGAGCTTCATTAGTCTCCTTAGACATTTGAGTTGTCATCCCTTTTCCCTTTTATTTTTGAAAAAACATTAGCTGCAGTCATTTTGATGTTTGTATTGGGACTGAAGTAAGACATCCATACTTTATGACCTAGGGAAAGTTGAGTTATCAAAGATTATTTTATTTTACTGCTTCACTAACCGAGTGGAAACTACTTCGCTACTACGGGGTCCCATCGACAATTATACACCTCATCCAACAGTTATACGACAATGCTGCATGCCAAGTAATCCACAACGGGAAACTTACGGAAGCCTTCGAAGTGAGGACGGGAGTGAGGCAAGGCTGTCTATTATCGCCAATGATCTTCCTGATTGCAATTGATTGGATAATGCGACAGACAACGGCAACCAACGAGGGAACAGGCTTAAAATGGACTGACACAAAAGACTTGGAGGATCTGGATTTCGCCGATGATATATGTCTGATTTCCCATAAACTGGAAGATATGCAAATGAAAAGTAACAAGTTGGCAGAAGAAGCATCAAAGATAGGACTTCACGTGAACATAGATAAAACAGAGATAATGAAGATTCCTAGCCAACATCAACAACACCAACAGACCACAATAAGCATAAATGGGAAGAACCTGAAAGAAACAACCTCCTTCACCTACCTGGGAAGCATCGTCTCAACTACAGGCGGAACTGACGAGGACATCAAAGCCAGAATCGGAAAAGCAAGACAAGCTTTCATTACTCTCAAATCTGTGTGGAGGAGGTCAACAGCACTCAGAATCAAAAATAAGATCCGGATTTTCAACTCCAATGTGAAGTCAGTCAGTGCTACTCACTGTACGGATCAGAGACTTGGCGGGTCATAAATATCATCTCAAACAAACTTCAGACCTTCATTAACAGTTCTCTTCGCTCAATACTACTCAAGATCAGATGGCTGGCCAGAAAAGATCAACAACAGGGATCTCTGGCAATGAGCGAACCAACCATGAACCGATTGTGAAACATATATGCAGGAAGAGAAGGAGATGGATTGGCCATAGTCTGAGGAAACGATCAAGTGACATCACTAGACAAGCCATTGCTCGAGTGGAACCCGAAAGGGAAGCGGCCAGTTGGTCGTCAGTGCTACGGTGACTTGGAGGAGGTCATGCGAGGAGGAGATGAAAGCATGTGGACAGACCCGGAGCAGGGTGAAAAAGTTATCAGCAAACCGAAGTCAATGGAGGTGCGCAGCTGAAGCCCTATGTTCCTCTAGGAACTAAAGGATACAATAATAATATATATACATTGACAGCTGTTTCGTCCTAGTTTGCCACTTTTCAACAACACGCACAGACTGGGGTTCGAATCCAGGACGTTTTGGTTACAATTCAAGCTGGCTCATGAACCGTTAAGCAACCGGGACCCCGAGTCACATAATAGGATGAAACAGCTGTCCAGTATTCCCAGGTTTTCTAGTGGTTCCTTAACTGATGTCAAGTCATTGACAAACCCGTAACCAAGCAAGTCCCTGAAAACCAATACTTGATATATATATATATATGTATATATATATGGTCCAGAGATTCGGTGCTGGCATCCCCAGTAGCATTTTCAACAGGAGAACATATACTTTTATCAACATTTGCTTCCCTCGCTTCATCTTTCTCCTTCCAAGTGTAAAATAAAGATTTATGCTTAATCTGTGAAGTTTCAGTGGCAGTGGTTTCATTTTAACAGAGTGGGATGTCTAGGCTCATGCCTGTCTTCTCGTTTTTACTCGGTTTACTACCAGCTGAGTGAGGTTTAGGGGTTGTGTTGGCCATAGATCGAACCTCTGGCCACAAGGGGCCTGGTTAGTGAAAATTCTAACGCTTCACCACCGATTCAACTCGATATTGAAGATTAAATAACCGACTGGAAAGCATAAGCAACGAGGAAATCTGGTAATAAACCGACCAAGAACATATTTAGATTTGAATAAATCGAGAACAACATTGATTTGTGCAGAATAACATGGTACCATCATTTATTTCGTTGGCTTCTCGTCAGCTGCTTACAGCCTAAATAAATTTTCAGGTTTAATTACAGAAACGTTTTAACGTACTTGCAAATTTTACATGTTGACAGAAAGTTTCACAACTAGTAAACAGTGCTGAGAAAATTGCGCTTATATAGTTTTTACACAGGCAGTTCAAGTTAAAAAATAATAAATAAATGTATGTATATAATGGTAAGGGATGTGCGTTGGATGCATAGTGACTAATAAGTTAGGTAACAATGTACTGAGTTGAACTCAAATCATCGAAACAAGAGACAACCAAAATTACAGATTATAAAAGGAGGGTGAGGTTAAAGACAAAATTACACAATCAGATGAGAGATGCAAAGTGACTAATAAGTTAGGTAACAATGTACTGAGTTGAACTCAAATCATAGACACAAGAGACAAGCAAAATTACAGAATATAAAAGAGGGTGAGGTTAAAGACAAAATTACACAATCAGATGAGAGATGCAAAGTGACTAATAAGTTAGGTAACAATGTACTGAGTTGAACTCAAATCATAGAAACAAGAGACAAGCAAAATTATAAAAGAGGGTGAGGTTAAATAAAGACAAAGATTACGCAATCAGATGGGAGATACATAATGAAAAAGATTTGTAGCTCAAGTGGATGATTTTGATGTAGTTGTGTTCTTTGAGCTAGCTGAATGGCTTATTTGTGAAGCTTTCATTGCCCCACTACTAGGCAACATCTTCAGCGCATACTTCAATTTGAAGTCGACTGATGAGTATCCAATGAAATAAATGCTGTCCTAATAATACTCTGCATGAAGATTTAGTTTTGTTCCGTTTGAGTTTATACAGGCGAATCAATATATGAGGATGGAGAAATCTAGTTATTTTTTTGATGCCCAAAATACCTCAGAAAATTAAGCCATAAACAATCGAAAAAAAACTGTCCAATCAGGTTATCATATTAGTACATGTATAAATCGTGACGCGAACGGCTTACAAAGAAGACTGTCGATCGTGACAGACAGATTTTATAATATGGAATTAATAGTGTTCTCTGAGCTTGTTGGTTTAGTTGTGGAGCTTTCGTCGTTCACCTTTCTGGACAACATCCCCCTTCAGCGCAATTTGTAGCATAGAGTGAAGTGATTTAAATTTTTTTCATGACTGACAGAATTTTGATGTGGTTTTGTTCTCTGAGCTGGATGGTTAGTTTGCAAAGCTTTCATCACCTTACTGGGTGACATCTTCAATTTGAAGTGAGCTTTTAGATTTCTCCACGAGTTAATCAATCATCTCTCCTGGTGACCTTGGACGTGATTGGTTGTTTGTATGTGTTTTCACACCTTCTAGGTTATTTGTATTGGAACCGGTTGTTTCTTTGACTTGAACTTTGACCCATTGTGTGTGAAGTTTCTTTCTTATTGGTTGATAAATTTTGTCTATCTCGATGTGTCTATTGATTGATGATCCACTGGAATGCCAAGCTTCTAAAAATTCTCTAGCATTCTTGTTATTTCCTTTGTCTAATATTTGAACGTTGTCCCAGTCGAATTGATGTCCGTAGTTGTCTGTGTGTAGTGAAATGAGGGAGTGGATATCATGTCTTTTGACGGCTAGCTTATGTTCGTGGATACGAAGACGAAGGGGACGTCCACTTTGGCCGATGTAGTGTTTTTCGCAGTTGTTACAGTTTATTTTGTAGATGATGTTGGTTTTGTCTTCTTTCGCTGTTGAGTCTTTTGGTTGACATAGAATTGAGTGCAGCGACTTTGTTGGTTTGTGTACGACGTCAATTCCTAAAGGTTTGAAGAGTCTTGTAGTGATTTCTGAGATATCCTTTATATATGGTAAGGCGATTTTCTTTGTGCTTTCCTTGGTGGCTTTTGGTTTGGTAGGTTGGCTTGGGGGTATATGTCTTTTGATGAAATTCCGTGGATATCCATTCTTTTGGAAGACGTCCATGAGATACTTTTCTTCAATTTTCCTTAAGGTGGGAGTGCTGCAGTGAGTCCTTGCTCTCTTGAATAGTGTTTGTATGCAATTCCTTTTGTGTGTTATTGGGTTGTTGCTGTTGTAATTCAGTATTTGGTCTGTGTGAGTTGATTTCCTATAAACTTGAGTTTCTAATTCTCCTGTAGTTGTTCGCCTGACTAAGACGTCCAAAAATGGTATTTTGTTCTCGGATTCCTCTTCTCTTGTGAATTTGATGTCGTTGAAGACGTTGTTTATTAAGTTGTGAGTTTTATCTAATTCGTTTCTTTTGATTATTACAAATGTGTCGTCGACGTAGCGTATCCAAATCTTGGGTTTGATCTTTGGTAGAATTATGTTTTCGAGTCTTTGCATCACTGCTTCTGCAATCAAACCTGATATTGGCGATCCCATGGGTGTTCCTTTGACTTGTTCATATATTTGGCCGTTGAATTGGAAGTATGTTGTTAGGCATAGATTTATGCATTCCATCCAGCTTGTGTGTTGCATTTTTGATTGTTGTGGCAGTTGTTCGTCGTTGCTAAGTAATTGCTCCATGGTTTCTTTTGCTAGGTTTTGTCCGATGGATGTATATAATGCTGTCACGTCGAATGATACCATTATTTCTTGTTCATCTATTTGGATGCCTCTGATTTTCTCTAGGAATTGGATAGCAGAGTTGATGGAGTGATCGCAAGATTCCGTTAGGTGTTTTAGTTTTCTGTATAATTCTTTGGATAAATTATATGTTGGAGTTCCTGGGAGTGATACAATTGGTCGTAATGGGATATTTGCCTTGTGTATTTTGGGTCTGCCGTAGAATCGGGGTAGGACTGGTCCATTGGATTTCATTCGCCATTGGTCTTGTTTTGTGATCTGTCCAGTTTTGCTGAGCTTGTTTAAGGTCCTTTGGATGCGGTTATCCAATGTTTGTATGGGATTTGTTGGGAGTTGTTGATATACATCTTCATCTTTGAGTAGTTCTTCAGCTTTCTTGGTATATTCTTCTCTGTCCATGACTACTGTTGTTCTTCCTTTGTCGGCTGGTAAAATGACGATGTCCTTCCTATTTTTCAGCTTTTTGAGGGCCTTTAGTTCTTGAGCGTTGAGTTGTGTGTGTTGTCTTTTCTGTTTGACCATTGGTACAATTGTTTGGCGTATCTCTTCCTGTGTTTCCTCGTTCAAGTTTGATGATTTGAGTAATGATTCAAAGGCAGCGAAGAAATCAGTTTTTGAAGCATCTCCGGTGTTGTAGTTTAATCCTTTTTGTAGTAGTTGTTGTTCCATTTTTGATAGTGGTTGTTTTGATAGGTTGACTACGCAGTCTATGGGCGTATTGTCTTGTTGTTGTTTTCTAATCTTGGCTAGCTTGGTTTTGAGGACTCTTCGTCTTTGTTCTCTGTGTTTTTCACTTGACAGTGTAATTGCGGTGATCAGCGTTGACAGGTGTTCCTGGTTGAGGGTTTTCTCTAATTTTGCTTTTTGGATATCTATAATTTGTTGATATTTGTTGATCCGATAATGTGCGTCTGTAATCATTAATTTGACCATTCGTCTTCCACATTGTTCGGCCAATTTCCATCCTATTGGGCAGTTGACTGGTGGTTTGTATCTTGCACTGTTTGGTAGGATTGAATGACGGAGGCACTCATGGAGAAAGAATAATTGTTCTCTGGTGGATCCTTGCCTTTTGGCGCTGTCTTCCCAGACAGAATTGTATCTCCCGGTAACCATCTTTACATATGTATTGATCATTTTCTATTGACTTGGATTTTAAACTTCCTGGTCACATGATTTACACTTTTTATTAGTTGGTATATTTGGTCTATATATTAACGTGTTTGTTCATCGCTGGCTGATTCGTTTGAGTACCAGGCTTCTAGGAATTCCCTGACTGCATTTTTGATGTTTCCTCTGTCTAAGATTTCGACATTATCCCAATCAAACTGATGTCCATAATTGTCTATATGCATTGATATGAAAGAAATATATATATACATATATCATGTCTTTTCACGGCTGATTTGTGTTCCTGGATTCTGATTCGAAGGAGACGCCCACTTTGGCCGATGTAATGTAATTCGATATTGTGCAAACCGAAAGAACCTACAGACAAAGGAGATAAAATTAATACCATTTACAAAATAAATTCCGTGGATGAACTGTAACAGGCATTACATCGGCCAGATTGGACATCCCCTTCGAATCAGAATCCAGGAACACAAATCAGCCGTGAAAAGACATGATATATGTATATATATATTCTTTCATATCAATGCATATAGACAATTATGGACATCAGTTTGATTGGGATAATGTCGAAATCTTAGACAGAGGAAACATCAAAAATGCAGTCAGGGAATTCCTAGAAGCCTGGTACTCAAACGAATCAGCCAGCGATGAACAAACACGTTAATATATAGACCAAATATACCAACTAATAAAAAGTGTAAATCATGTGACCAGAAGTTTAAAATCCAAGTCAATAGAAAATGATCAATACATATGTAAAGATGGTTACCGGGAGATACAATTCTGTCACTCATGAAAAAAAACTTAAATCACTTCACTCTATGCTACAAATTGCGCTGAAGGGGGATGTTGTCCAGAAAGGTGAACGACGAAAGCTCCACAACTAAACCAACAAGCTCAGAGAACACTATTAATTGCAAATCATCCACCTGAGCTACAAATCTTCTCTATTATTTAAGATTCTATAATACATATTGTTGTTCCATCTAATTTTTTCGATACTTTTGTTTTTATGACTGTTATTCTTCTTCCTGTCGTTTTCATAGTGTCTTCTGTTTGCTCAACCTGATGTCTTCCCGACTGTAATCTCTGTTATCCGACAATATCGTCATGAAGCGATCCGTGTTTACACTGACAAAATGATTGATATGAATGATGTTGAAACAGCTTTGAAACATATCACATTTGGTATTACTAATCAATTCCCTGATATATCAATTCATCAGATAACAAGTGAACCTCTCCTGTATTGTAGTTTCAATAAAGGTTTATCCGCTGAACGACAATACGGGCCTGCATCCTCCCTGGAAGAAATTAGTGATATTGTTGTTAATGCATTGAACAATTACAATGATACATTTGCTGTTATGAATTTAGTATTATTTAGTGATGCTGTGATACATGTGTTAAGAATTTGTCGAATATTAGAAATGCCGAGGGGTAGTGCTTTACTCATTGGAATCGGTGGTTCTGGTAAACAGTCGCTATCACGTTTAGCTGCATTTATCTCAGGATTTTATTTATCACAAATAGTTTTGCGTAAGGGCTACTCACAGAATGATTTAAGAGCACATCTTGCCCAATTGTATATTAAAGCATCATTGAAGAATATGCCGTATGTATTTTTAATGACTGATGCACAGGTAGGTGGAATTTTCGCATTTTCAGTAATGCATATTTAATAAAGTTGTATTTTTTGCATTGCTTTGCTGACCAGTCTAAAGAATAGTGACTGTGAAGTGTGAAGGCACACCAATGACTTCGAACACATGTCGTGCGTTGGATTGTAGAATCTGCCGCGTCATTACGGCACCAGTATGAATGTTGTGCATGAAGTGAGGTGTGATTTCATACCGATCATGTCTTCAAGTAGTAGATTTAAGGTGTTTTAACATCATTGTCTGTATTTTCCTTGTAAATAAATAAAATGAGAGGATAATGTTTCCTTGTTGACATAGATGGAACCATTTTGTTGGCTATGAAACTTGAAAACTGATGCCTCTCAGTTACATCAGGGCAAAATGTCATCTTTAGTGTGTTTCATTACTAATATTATTATGTTAACTTATAAATACGCGGCACGTTCTGTAATCCGCTTTCGCGCTCCGTGGTCGTTATTCGTTGTGTTTGTCTTTTTTGCATTTCAAGTGGAACATAGGGCTACAAGCTATGAAGTTTCAGAAGTGATTCTTTTCATTTTACGCAGTGGAATCGCTAGCTTTACGCCCAACCTTCTTTCTTTCAGGCCTTCGTAACGGCTTGGTGAGGTCTACAAGTGTATTGGTGACCGGGTGATCAAATCTGTACCGCTTAGTCGGATAGCAGTCATTCTAATCACGAAGTTGTTGAATAAACTCGGTAACAGATAAAGACAAGGCTATTAATGTTAATCTTTTTCTGTGTTTAAAGTTTCCTTAGCTTTTGTGCTGATATCGTGAGGTGGCGTTGCTAGATCTTCCCCTTAACCTCCCCTCCTTTTTTGAGCTTTGGACTAGATAGCGCCAAAAATTCCTTACCGAAAATTCCTTTGGACACGCACAGTCATAAAATGTTTCAAAGACAGTCTGTCTGTCTGTCTGTTTCCGACATAGAACTTTCCACCGATGTGCACCACTTCAAGTCGCCACACTCCCTCCATGTAGCACACAAAGCAAGAGACGAAAGTAGAAGAAATGCATAATAGAGACAGTAGGCAGAGATATGAGACAAAAGTAATAGTAAAAATGAAGAACAATATAGTTTCACTGGAAATCATAAGTCACAAGGAGTGGATGCATCCGCGCCAGCCGTTGAGAACGATTTTGAGCCATGTCACCAATTGTTTCCAACCACTGGTTCTTACCGTCCTGAGGACCCCAACCAGTCAGGAAGTCGACCCCTTCCTAGGTGATTGGCGTAAACTAACTGTTGTAGATTTCATTGACTGGTGCCATGTTTGATTTGACCGCCGCTAGCTCTTTTCCAGCCTGACCCTATGCCAGTCAGCTAACATTGCCCATTGTCGAGCAAGGCGATGACTAGGGATACGTAACCATCTCAATCGGTGTAACTTCACAGCCTCATCGAATGGTTTCCCCTACTTACCTAGCACTCGACGGACGCCTAACCTCAGTATTGCTCATCTTATTATACCACTTCACACGGGAGATAGAGCGCAGGCACCTATAATCGAAGACAGCTAATCTTTTCATGTCTTCCACTCTCAATGTCCAGGTCTTGCTCACAGCCATATAGGAGGACGGAGCGGACTGATGAGCAGTACACACGCCCTTCGGTCGATAGCCAGCCGGATATCACGTCTACTCCAGAGACAGCGTAAACTGGCATATGGGAAACTAGCCCTCTGTATCCTTGGTGAGATTTCGTCAGAGATCAACCCGTTGGCACTAGCTGATGGTACTTCCCAAATAAGTGAAGCGGTCAACGTGCTACACCAACCAATTCACTTCCTATTTCTAAACTAGGAGTCGGTGTAGTCCAGTCCTGTACCATTATCTTACATTTGGCGGGAGCGAATCGCATGCCAAACATTCGTAGATTACAGCTCAAAGGCAGTAAAAAAAGGTTATTCATAGTTAGATCTCCTTATGTTCTGTTGGACAATAATAGCGTAGAAAACTCAAAATGACCTCAGCAACGCTGTTAAGTAACCATACAGTCAAGAGAACATTCCAAGGACAAAACAAGTAGTGTGTAGAACGAAATTACTTAACCAGGAGCCAACCGTAAGAAGTAGCTTTGAATCAGGTAGAATATTCCCAACATAGGTGGGATCAAAAACTTATTCCGTGAGAATCACACACTAACGCCTGCCTAAGGTGGTTCAACGTTACAATGACCTTGATTCACTCAAATAAAATCACATCGGAAAACAGAACATTATGATATACAGTCTAGAATAAAAACAGAGAATAATTACACAGTGAGTCGAAACATAGGAATAAGTATAAATGTTATAGTGGGTACACAGTATGCTTCTTCTGCATGCCTGTGCAAACTATGCTTCGCTTTAAGCAGAAACCAAATGGGAAGCAGCGAGTTGGGCATGGGATCCGAGGGCTGCATGAAGTAGATCTTATGAAGAGCAGATGAAAACTTATTGAAAGTCACGCAGAAAGGTGAAAACAATGTGACAGTGTACAGTTGAGATGTATCGCTGAATCCCTATGCTCCATTTTGTAATATTCTAAAGTCTATTGAGATGAATACTCGATTTTTCTAAATACTCATGAGTTCCAAACACCTTTATTCTACCGATGTATGCATAATCACTGTCCGCGAATCTTCACATCATGTTCCAGGTGGAGCATAAGGAGTAACTGACAGTACGACTGCTTATCTTTTTACTTGTTCACTATGTCCATTAGAATGGAGATATTTAGATGTTTTTAATCTTATGGTGAGAGCTGGCTGCTAGCCAAATTGGTAGATAGTAATTTACGTCAATGTTTACGTCTCCGATATTGTTCGTGAGAAAAATAAGAACAAAGACTGACTCAACAGCCAATCACGGCAGACTTTGCGTAGGTGGATACAGTTTGCAGGTAGATGATCTGAACTTCAGTAAACGGCCACAAAGAGATGAAAGATTAACGTTCAGCGAGAAGCCACCAATCAGAAGACTGTGTTTGTCAGCTAACAATAATCTATAATAACGTACATGAAAATCTAGAAATATGTGTTGATCTCCTTATTAAAGGATCTGTTGCCTGGCCTTTGTCTTCTGTTTTTACAACCTGAGTACTTGTGTCGAAACAAAACAAAAAAATAGGATGTATTTTATAAAGTTTTCACCAGAAATTCCATTTTTTCGGCTACGAATGACTTTGACTTGACGATGGCTACTTATCGACGATATGCGAATATGGCTGTCATACATCATGAGTTGGTTTTAGTCGAAGAATACGGTTTACCGTGTTCTGAAAACTTGATGGAATGGTATATTATGTGACTCTATCAGTGTGGGCTACAATTTATCGACGATTTTAAGTCTGTAGTGTTGGAATGTCCCTAAATACTTGAAAGAAGCTTTTAAATACCCTTAATCTTTCAATGTATTTCTAGTTGAAGTCAGCTAATTACGTGGGAATTTCACTGAAGAAAATGCCTCGTACTTACATCAGCTTATATCTTTTCTAGTTTGTGCATCCACAAACTCACCATCATTGATTAAAATTTATATATATATATATATATATATATATATATATATATATATATATAAATCTATGTAACTTAGAGTAAAGCCTGAGGAAGATCTAACTGAAAACAGTACTGTTCGCTTATATGTCTTGTTCTAATATCAAATGAGCATTACTGGTTGGTGTGAATTGAATTCAACTACTCGTTGTGACGTATGCTACTGAAAAGATTTTTAAGTAGTGTGTACATACAGAAATAAATATCTATGTCATCTATAAGAATACTGATTCAATGAACGCTATGATTGCGAAACAACATGGAAAATATGAAAAGATAACAAAGAGGCACAATAATGAAGATATGTGCAACTTGGGATTCTAATATGTTGTAGAAGTATTTTGTCCATATCTGTGTATCGAGTTGCTGATAAGCAATTCTGTTACCAAATCCTCTTATCTTCTTCCGTTACATTTGGTGTCACTGCCTTCGGACAATGAAGATCTCATGACCTGCTGCTTTCTAAGAACATGTCAGGAGCCTTACGGAACTTATATGCTGAGTTGGTGGGCATTATGGATCTGATGGCGAAGACGATTGTGCTGGGGACGGTGTCGAGAGGTCGATCAGCGGCGGCGCATGACGGTGTAAAGCCGGCAGGTGGTGAAGAAACCTGCAAAGTAGGTATTGGTGGAACAGTTAGTAGCGGAGTTCGACGACCCAACATATAGGCAGCATGGCAATGTACCGGTTCCGTACCATGAAGCTGGGACTAGGTGGAGGCCCACTTGTATTGGCAGTGAAGCCAGCACGTCTACGTCATTGGGCGCTTCCCAAACTTAACGAAGAGTCAGAGACTCAGCTGTTTATCGAAAGTGTCCCAGAATATATTGCTCAGCAACTACAACTTGTCGACGCCCTTGAAGGTAACAATATAGATACGGAACACAACCGTAGCCTCAAAAGAGGCACCAAAATCGAACTAGTGGGAACAGAAAATTGAAGATTCGCAGAGTGAAGCTGAGACGCTACGAATGGGTGGCAGAAAAGACCAGAGGAATTACTGTCCAGAAACATGGAAAAGGTAAAGTTTTAGACAGTACAATGTGCATTCTTTCTCTCCAATAAGACTAGAAGTAGATGCGGTCACGTATTCACAATCATCATCTTCATTAAATCCATTCCTCCGCTATTCGATATTCTTGCAGCTGACATACATATTTATATCTGCATCTATATACTACTGAGAAACCTTATTAGTAGCACACACCATAATATTAACCAGTCAGTAGCATACATCATCATGCATACATTTCATCTATTCACGCATTTCTTATATCAGATTAAGCGGTATAATAAAAATCAATCAGAGAGTTGAATAAAGACAAATTCATTAAATTATTCTATGTATTGTTTTGTTAATTAGGTTGCAGATGAACGCTTTCTCGTCTATGTGAATGATTTCTTAGCCTCAGGTGAAATACCAAATCTTTTTCAAGATGAAGATTTTGATCAGATTATACAAGGTATTCGATCAGAAGTTAAAGCAATGGGAATTATTGATACAAATGAAAATTGTTGGAAATACTTTATAGATAAGACACGAAAAATGTTACGTGTAAGTTAGATGATAATAGTAATTTTTGCCTATACAGTCTAATATTACTTAATATATTATCAGTAGGCAACTGTTGTATTATAAAAAATATAGATATATTTTTGGTGGGCAATGCTATTCATCAATGTGAATTAAAGTATGCGCAGTTATACTGTGAAGACATCAAGAAGGATATACCTTCAATTTTATGCACGTGTAGCAAAAGCTCATGTTTCAAAGAGACAAATGCTTACAATGATACCACTGCCAGACATCTCATCGATGCGAATCATGAGGTGGATATCGCGAAATCCTTTAAAATTATCAATAGACAAAATAGTTCATCCCTGCTTAAGTTTGACTAAGCAGTACCTATCAAACGACTGGAACCCTGTTTATGTATTCAAAAAGAGGCGGTTACCAGTATTTCTTCGCTCTCATAACTGGATTCATTTATTCTCCCTCTCTTTCAGTTGATTACGTAATCTTTGCCTTTAACCCCTCCATCTTTTGATACAGTCATTCATCTTTCTGCTCACCTCCCGTCCTTATTACGTAACCCCTTTCGCATCCTATCCAAGCATTTGCTTTTGTCTGAATTTTGACTTTCTGGGTATAAACCATATGAGCGTGGTTTCTGAGCACTGTTTATTAAGTTTCGAGCCTCCTATCCACTGACATCACGCCACCATATTTGCGAGTATGTTGCTCTCTACATAGACTAAATAATGATTCCTCTAGTCTACACTCAGCTGATGAGAAGTCAACCAAATAAATTATAGTACCATCTTATTCTGCACAAATCGCTGTTGTTGTCGCTTCATTCAAATCCTTAATCAGTAGGCAAGAGATTATGAAATTAGTCCCATTCTACACAGAGTAATTTGACTAACAGGAATGTGCATTTCGTCCTACTTGGAACTCGTCAACTAGGTTTATCTACAACCCTCACTGAGTGTTGGTGTTCTCACTGAGACTCTTCATGGCATTCCCTCATCTTTTACAACATCTGTTGTTGATGTTGTTTTTTTCTTGTAAAAATGGTCAATGACAATAATTCACTATTAGAAATACTCGATGAATAACAGATCAATATGGAATTGTGCATAGAAGTGCAGGTGTGGTGAGAGCAGGCCGGTAGCCAATTGGTAGACGTCAATTTACATCAATGTCTAGGTCACTAATATTGGCCGTGAGAAAATATGAACAAGGCTGATTCAACAACCAATCACAGCAGACTTAACGTGGGCGAATAATATTCACAGATATATGGCTTAACTTTCCGAGAAACCAGAAACACCCAATCAAAAGATTGTGTTTGTCTGCTTGAATAAGCTATAATAATGTACAGGAAATATATATAAATACGTGCTGATTTCCGTAATAAAACGATCTGTTGCCGGCCCTTGTCTTCTGTTGTTACACAGGAGATCAGCTTGGCATACTTTGAAACTACTCAGTACTGTAGTGGACAAACATTAAATAGGCTGGTATAAACAATAAAATAACAAGGCATTTACACCGTTTTAACATGAATAATAACTTTCATGAAAGATTCAAATGATTAGTAGCTCCTGCCAGCCAAATAACGATTGCCTTAACACTATACTGTCATTTAACCCATCTGGGGACTGAGATCATGGACGATATACCCTGTTAGACTATGTCGCGATGTATAAAACACAAAATTATCGAACAAAGAATATTCTTTTCGATAAATTCCTCTTCCCGGTTCTACAATTATATATATATATATATATATTTATATACACAGAATATTCTAGATGAGTAGTTAATAACAATATTAGTGTTTTTTAAATTATATCGATTTGCAAAGTAAGATCAATGGAATTATCACAGTTCATTAAAGATGCTTAAATAATAATAATAATAAAGATATAGTAGCAAATAGAATATTAGCTAAAATTAGGAAAATTTCACAAAAAGTCAGGATTATTCAAACCTAGATGACCAAGGTAATGACAGTGTCTGAACTAACTTCATTTGGATGCACAAATTAGGCTTCTTAATATGGATCCCCACAGCCTCAGCAATATTTAGTAGTCGAACTCTTAAGGCAAAATTGAGATTCGTAGGTATGCGGTAAATGACCCTAAAAGCCTGGTTAACATCAATCTTGCGTTATGTATTCACAAGATGAGATAGAATAGCGCTGCGAATAGATTTTGTTTGTCCTTTGCTTAACCACACTGGATGATATTTCGAAATCGACGAGGAAGATGCCTAATTGTACGGCCTATGTAACTGGCTCCACAGGAGCAGTTAAATTGGTAGATGATACACATGAAAGAGGCGAAATTAAGCAGTTTATCTTTTACTCCCGAAGGCAGAAGAGGATTGGTTTTGAAAACACAGCGTAATTCAGCAGCAGGGAATGCTCCTTTTACTGCATTTCTAATGCGCTGTGTTAGTATCTCGCTAGTGTTGTCCCCAAGGAACTTCATCTGTAAGAATAAGGCCTTTTTTGAAACTGTTGGTACCTTGGGCTGCTATGATTTTAGATTCATGTTCTTATCAATAAACTTAGCAACCGATTAATATTATTCAGTTCTTCATCAAGACATTCGTCCGAGCAAATCGCTCTTGTTCTGTGAACCAGGCACTTTATCAAATTGCGTTTGTATTTCAAGGGTACAAAGCTGAGAAAATGTGTGTACTGGCCCGTTGATGTAGGTTTTCTATAAATACTTCCTCTTATTGTGCCATTCTCTTTTCTGGTCATAAAGACGTCTAAAAATGGAATACTAGAGAACCATTGGAAAATCTGGGAGTACTGGACGGGTGTTTCGTCTAAGTTTAAGACTCTTCATGAGTACGCACGCACTACAGAGGTTCGAACGCAGCACCTTCCGGTTACAAGGCCAGCGAGCTCTTTGACCACTTAGCCCAATCCGATGGCCAGCCAGTGCATGAATTCCAACTTCTGTCAATTCACAATGTAGCGCAACCACTAGCCAATGTCTTCGGCGAGTTTTTGTCCTCACACCCGACCTGCTGCACGCTTCTGGTCAAGACTTCTCACTAGAACCCCCAGGCTTAGTGGTCTACGAGCTCGCCATGTAATCAGTAGGTCCTTGGTTCGAACCCTGGTGAGTCCCGAAGTAGGACGAAACAGCTGCACAGTACTCCAGGTGGTTTTTCAATGGTTCTCTAACCAATGTCAACTCATGATGATATCCTGTAACCAATCAAATCCCTACAAACCAACACTTGAATAAGTCGAGATGTATTTAGAAGACAGAATATTGTGAGATGACGTCATCGTTTCGTAATTTCCCTAATTTCGCTGTGCAACTACTATGGTTCACAATAAAAAAATAAATAAAATGTATGAACAGTTACTCAGTGACATGAAACAAAAGTACCAATCATATTTAAGTAAGTCAAGTAGTCCATAATAGACGAGGGTTTGAGTCTATTGATTTTTGTGCATACATAGTTTAGTACGCATATGATTAATCTAAAGTGCTTCCAACCCTGAAATAACTGAGTAGCAGTCATGAATTAGTGCTTTGCTGTTGGTTAATGATGGATTTCTATTTAGATTAATTACATTTTAAATTTCCATGTAACTTGACAACCCCTTTAGAACGTGGTGTTTCCAACAATACTGGAGGATTCTATTAGTTCTACCAATATCTATGTATCGTCGCGTCCACAGATGAACTTGTAGATACAGTATGAAGTAGAGTCCTTGAATCATAAGTAAAGGGAACAAAAATGCTGAGGATGGGGCGTAGAATGTCCGTCTGACAGCAGACTGAAACCTTTGGTCTATCGGTTGCAATGTCTGGTCACCCGTGAATCGTATTAGTTTAATAAAGATAACTTTGGTACGGAATCAGTCTTTTCAGGGGGTATAATCTCTCTTTACCGTGACATACGATGAAGTCTTCAGGATAACCATTAGTTAGTGAAACTAAATATCTCTGAAGTAGCTAGCTCATCCATTAGTGTGCATTCGTGAAAATTTTATAGGAGCTTGAAAGCAGGAACGTTTATACTGGATAGGAACCAGACTACTGAAATGAAGATATACTGTCCACTTCGTGTCTACTTTATTCAAATCATTCCTCAAGTGTTGAGTAGGTATTACATTGTTAAGTATTTCAAAGTACTAAAATTTTCATTCTCATCCTTAGTAGCGTTTATTTTTTATAGGTTATTTTATGCTTCTCTCCGGTTGGTGATAAACTTCGTCTAAGAGCAAGACGTTTCCCAGCCCTGGTTAATTGTACATGTATTGATTGGTTCCATGAATGGCCACAAGAAGCCTTACTGTCTGTTTCAGAAAGATTCTTAGAAGATTGTCCAGGTTTATCAGTAAGTTGAATTCCCAATCTTTGAGTGGAACATTTTCTTTGTGTGTGTGTGAGTTTCTTTTTCGGGGGGGGGGGGGTGGATTTTAAAAGATGAAATGATCACTGAAAGAAACTGAACATTTTCGAAATCGCGAATAAAAATTTCAAATATTACCGATGAGTATAGAAAAGAATGGAGTGTTCCATTGGTCGAGTTATAGTTTTTTATGCAAAGCTGATGTACTGTATAGAGTTTACAGTAGTCGGTGGTGGTTGATTACTTCATAAGGCAATCCACAAGAAGCCTTCGACATAAGCTTTTTGTTTATTGTCATTCATCGGTCAGCATGGTTTATTTGCAGTCTTTTAGGAATTTATGTCCCTCCTTCTGAGATGTGAACCCGTGTCACTCAGTGCTACAGTCAGTCAGTCAGTCAGAGAAGTTACCACTGAGTTATTCAGGCTGGTTAGTAACTAGTTTAATGTGTGTCTAAACACGCTCTGGATGAAAAACTTCGACCAGAACAGGCTGGATTCAGGAGGAACAAGTCATGCATTGATCAAATCACAACACTATGGATAATTATTGAACAGAGCTTGGAATGGTAATCAGCTCTCCACCTCACTCAACTTCATCGGCTTTGAAAAGGCCTTCAGCAGACAGTGTCGATCGAGAGGAGATTCGGCAACTACTTTGTTACTACAGGGTGCTGCCGACAATTATGCACCTCATCCAACAGTTGTACGACTATGCTGCATGCCAAGTAATTCACTACGGGAAACTCTCGGAATCCTTCGAAGAAGTGAAGACGGAAGTAAGACAAGCTGGATGCCCACTACAATTTTTCCAATAATTTACCTGATTGTGGTAAACTTGACAATGCGACAGACAGCGGGCAACGAGAGACAGACATAAAATGGACCTACACAAAACGCTTGGAGATATGGACTTTACCGACAGTTTATATCCAATTTCTCATAAACCGGAGGATATGCAAGTGAAACGCAACAACTTGGCGATAAAAGAAGCATCCAGAGAAGATAGGACTTCAGGTGAACATAGAAAAACAGGAGTGACGAAGATTTCTCGCCAACAGCAACAAAAAGAACAAAACAGCTGTCCAGTACTTTCAGCTGGTTTTCCGATGGTTCTCTAACTTAGGTTAGCTCATGATGAAATCCTGTAACCAATCAACCAAATCCCTACAAACTAACACTTGATTTAAGAGTGATGAATGTCTACCTTGCTTTTTGATTCGCTTTTTCACATCCTGATCCTTTCTGACTGCCTGTAGTTGAAATGAAACTGCCTAGATAAGTGAAGGAAATGACCTCTTCTTTAAATTTCTCTCATTGATAGTGACTGATGCTTGAAATAGTCATGACAATGAATAATAATAATAATGCTAAAACTGCATCACATTTTTGTGTGCCTTTTATTGATTCATGTGTATGCCTATACACCTTTTTTCCCGCGCATTTTCAGGATGAAGTACGCAAATCTGTTAGCCAATACATGGCATACGCGCATACAACAGTCAATGAATTAAGTCAACAATACCTCCAGAAAGAACGACGTCATAACTATACAACACCAAAATCATTTCTAGAACAAATTAGTCTATACAAACGTATGGTTGGTGCACAGATCGATGAGTTACAACACAAGATTGAACGTTTAGTCAATGGTTTAGAACGACTAAAAAGTGCTGGTGAACAAACTAGTGAATTAAAAGTTCAACTGGCTGAACAAGAAATTATTGTCAATGAAAAAACTGAAAATGCCAATAAACTAATTATTGTTGTTGGTAAAGAAACTGAAAAGGTGACAGCTGAAAAAGAAATTGCCGCTGAAGAAGAAGCAAAAGTCAGTGTTATTAAAGCAGAAGTTGAAGTGAAACAACAAGAGTGTGAAAATGATCTGCGTAAAGCAGAACCAGCATTGATTGCCGCCCAAGAAGCCTTGAACACACTGAATAAAAATAACTTGTCTGAATTGAAGGCATTGACTAGTCCACCACCAGATGTTGTGACTGTTTGTTCCGCTGTCATGTGTTTATTCGCCATGGATGGTCGACTGCCAAAGGATAGAAGTTGGAAAGCTGCTAAAGCTGGTATCATGTCTAAAGCGGATCAATTTTTAAGTAATCTCTTAAATTACGACAAGGAGAATATGTCAGCGAATAGTAAGGCTGCAGCTTCAGAGTATGTTAAAATGCCAAATTTTGATCCTGATGTAATTCGGACTAAATCGTTGGCTGCTGCTGGTCTCTGTTCATGGGTAATCAATATCCTGAAATTTCATGATGTCTACTGTGAAGTAAAACCGAAACGTGATGCCTTGGATGCAGCCAACGAAGAATTACGTCAAGCTACGGAGAAACTTGAAGGTTTACAAAAGAAAATCGCTGTGCTTGAAGCATCGTTAGCTGAGTTAACAGCCAACTTCCGTGAGGCTACTGAAGAAAAGTTACGCTGTCAACAAGAAGCTGATTTTACGGCTAAAACATTAGATTTAGCCAATCGATTGGTGAATGGTTTTGCCTCAGAAAATATAAGATGGGCAAATCAAGTTGAAGAATTAAAGGTACTCGGTGAGACAGTTGTCGGAGATGTTTTAATAACAACAAGTTTTATCTCTTATTTTGGTTATTTAAGTCGAACATTTCGTCAACAGCTGTTGAATGTTAAATTGTGGCCATTTCTGAAAAGTCTCCAGGTACCAATACCTGTACGTAATGGAATAGATCCTTTAGATATGCTGATTGATGATGCAATCATTGCAACATGGAATAATCAATCTTTACCAGAGGATCGTATGTCTATTGAAAATGCTACAATATTTACATTTTGTGAACGTTGGCCATTGTGTGTTGATCCCCAGTTACAAGCGATTAAATGGATCAAGGTTAAATATGGCAATGAATTAGTCGTTACACGGCTTGGCGCTAAAAATTGTTTAGAACAAATTGAATTAGCTATTACAGATGGACGTGTTGTATTAATTGAAAATATCGGTGAGACTATTGATCCTATTCTAGATCCTGTAATTGGACGGCAGACAATTAAAAAAGGTCGATTTATCCTACTGGGTGATAAAGAAATCCCATACAATGCTAATTTCCGTTTAATTCTACAAACAAAACTAGCCAATCCACATTATCAACCAGAATTACAAGCACAAGCCACACTGATCAACTTCACAGTAACACGTGATGGTTTAGAAGATCAATTGTTAGCAACAGTTGTGAGTAAAGAACGTCCAGATTTAGAAAAGTTAAAATCTAATCTAACAAAACAACAAAATGAATTTAAGATCACATTGAAACAACTTGAGGATTCTCTACTGGCCAAGTTATCTTCA